AAATGTTAGAAAGCAAGGGGTTGATGTTTTCTTGATGATTATTTAATTTGCTCCTTGTTGGAAACAAGATCATGATAATTAAACCTGTTATTTCTTTGTCTTTAATTTGCTAATTTTCATGCTACCACTTATTTGTATCCTTTTGCAGATGTGGATATGAGTTTTGCTATACTTGTGGAGCTCAGTGGCGTAACAAGAAACCAACATGTTCATGTCCAATCTGGGATGAGCGAAACATTATACGTGATCAACGAAGAAGGCAATGATCTAGAGGAAACTAGTGACAAGACAATTATCTAGTGCTCAATAGCAAGAAAATTTAGGCAATCTACTTCCTAGAGTTCCCTCTTTTTAGTTTCCCTTTGTCTGCTTCTCTCCTTTCTCAAAACTAGATTTTTGGGTTTTAGAGTTTATGTTTTCTAGAGGGTACACTTGGGGAAGTTAATACGAATTTGATAAGGATTGAACTTCATGGATTTTTACCTAAAAGTTACCTGCAAGGTTAGGTTTTCATTGCTATTTTTCAAGAATTTGGGCATTGAATTGCCATTTCCCTGGGAAAGGTATTGCATATTGTTGGACCCTTTTATGAAAGACCCCTTTTGGACATCCTGTAGAATTTGGTCAAGCGGAAATGGTTTTCATGAGAATTGGTAGCACCTGCAATCTGTGGCATGCTAGTTTTGTTCCAAATATGTTGCCTCTCCATTTCAATTTGGATGGAGGTTACGGCTCACACACTTTCTCTCCCTCCCTAGTCTCTTCCAAACCTTTTTTGGCGTGGAACAGTGAGGTTGCTCAATTTGGGTGACTAACTTTATGCAAGGCATCAGCTATTGCTGTTGCCTGGGTTAGTAGGGCTTTTAACAAATCAGTCTATTACTTCATTCAATATATTAAAAGTTATATGTTACGTTTGCTATTATCCTCTCTTTTTCTCCCCATGATGTATGCCACTCTCATCATTGTTTATACTTCTTACAATATATACTTAAATCTACTCCCTCATTCTCCCTCTTCCTTCCTTTAGCTGAGGCACTTGTTTGATTAATTAGTTTTTGAAAAAGCAAGCAATGTAGTGTGTAGCTGCATGAGCTTGTCAATGGCGAAAGCAAAGCTGTTTCTATGCCTACACCATGGAGTCCAGGGTATCCATAATCCATGTGCCTTCTTCCATGCACGGAGCCTTTGTCTGAATAACACAGACATAACTGATTATGTCTTGGAGAGATATTTGGACGTGATACGTGCATCAAAGTTATGAAGTAGTACTACCAGTTCTAGGACCACTCAAGCACTCGGGACATGGCGTGCCATTCCATAAATCTGCCACGAATCATGTCCTATTTTGTGGTGGGATCTGCCATGTTTTTCTCCGTTGGAAACTGTCTCTCGTCTCTATTCTCTATCCATCTTCACATCGTGGCTTAGAGATTAATTTCTCGTCTTGGTTTTTCACCAATAAGAAATTGGAAACTTGCCATTTTCGGGGTGGAGACTGCACGGTTTTCATATTAAAATTTATGAATGCCCACACGTTTCTTTAAACGTAATTTCGAAGCTAATGCACATTATTTGGACTTAAATGGCTCGTGTTTACACAGGAAAAAAAGGGACCCATGATTAGAAAACGCACCAAGAACATTACTCAAAAGCCTTTGTTAATCAAAATTTTACTCAAAGGTAAGTAATGCAAACAAATATCGAAAGATAAAGCAATGATCAAACAGAATTTTACCTATTATTCATCAGCTATTTTTCAGTGAAATTATAATCAAAAAATTAAGGAAAAACAATTAAAGAGTGCAGAGCGTATCCTTGGCAACACTAAGCATGCAAAATTACAAATACTTTTTTTTTTTATTAGCATCTAAGTATAGAAGTACTCAATCATTTGATTCGTTAACGTGTATATATATATATAATTTTTGATATAATCATTACAAATTCGGTCAGTTAAATTAAAAAATGTTATGATTTCATTTCATTGAAGAAAGTTGAAAAGTTTTTTTTATTCGAGAGAAAATAAATTAATTTATCATGTCTTACGTCAAAAAATGTAAAACAGTGTATTTAGAGAAGAATTGAAAGTTAAAAAGTTAGCAACATTTTCTCAAGCAGTAAGAGAGTCAAAAATTGAGGTTTGAAAAAGCTTGAAATAAGGTGACGTTTAGTACATTACAATACAATCTGATTACAGGTAATGTGATTGCAAGTAATGTGATTGCAAGCAATGTGATTACAAGGAAAATAACATTACAGTGTTTGGTATGTAAGTAAAATAATGATTAAAATGCAGGGAATATAACATTGCAGTGTTTGGTTTACAAGTACTTTAGTAAGAATGTAATGCTAATTGTCAAAATTACCCCTAATTATTAAAATATAAGTTTAATATATTTATATTTTTTATTATTAATTTTTATATAATATCATTTCTTAAATATATTTTAATATCATATATTTTATTTTTATTTATTATTATAATATTTTATATTTTATATTTAATAATTTATATTTATATTATTAATTTTTATATAATTCATTTCTTAAATATATTTTTAATATCATATATTTTATTTTTATTTATTATTATAATTTTTATATTTATATTTAATATATTATATTTATATTATTAATTTATATAATATCATATTTAAATATATTTAATGTCATATATTTATTTTATTTATTATTATAATTTTATATATTATATATTATTTCTTAAATATTTTTTATATTATATATTTTATTTTAATTTGTTTATCTATATTATATAAATATTAATTTTTTTATTTTATTTATTTTTAATTTTTATTCTTTATATTATATATTATTTTAATTATAATATTATAAAATATTTTTAATAAGATAATAAAGTTGAAGGGTAAAATTATCTTTAAGAACATTATAGAGTGTAATGTAATGTGATTGCATTGGTTTTGCACTGTAATCACATTACATCCATTGACTGTAATGTGATTACATTGCAATCTTACGCAATGATCTGTTACAAAACAAGCATTGTAATGTAAATTAATAAACTACATTACAAGGAATGTAGCTTAACTTCATGATATCAAACGACACCTAAATGGCGGAGCCATGAAAATGGATCAACAAGCGGAGCCCTGTTCCAAAGATGTGGTGTTGACAGACGTGACTCTGACTTGAAAGAAAGAAAATCTTTCCCAAAAAAACCAGCAACCTCCGCTAAGTGACGGCGGTTATTACCAGTGAAAAAAACCCAAAAGCGGACACAACCTTTTACCCCCAACAAGCCGCCCGTTCCAGTTGCACTGCCCTCAGAAGCAATAGTCTGACATATGCCCATTTGTCCACCCCAGAGAAATCTCCCATCTCCCCACCATCAAACCCAAAAGAAATAAAGCAACCAACCCATTAAATAAAAAGTGAACCTGTCCTTTTTTTCTTACCAAACCTTTCTCTTTCAACTTTTTCTCTCTTCTCTTTTCGTTTCCACATGTACAGACCTCTTACTTAAATATTCCCATTAACCTCTGCGTCACGTTCAAGCCTTTTAGATTTTTTCCAACTCTACTTCAAAACCACTGCCTCTGCTCTTTTTTCTCTGCTTTTTCATCAAAAAACAGATATGGAGGGCGGTGATCAGGAGGAGGAGCAGCGGTACACCGGCGTACCACCGGATAAAGCGGCAAATTTTAAGGATGTTATTCGTGAATTCATGAGGGGATTACTTGAGATGAGCGTGCAATTCGGGAGAGGGTGTAGGGATGTGGTGCAGCAGAGCTTAGTTACAGAGGATTCGTTTTTAGTAAGGAATTTTGGCAAAGATTCTTACATTGGTCGAAAACTTAAGGTTCCTTACGACAACGTTTTGAGGAGATTGAAGGTGTTTAATGAGTACTTGGTTCCTGAAGATAAGCATCCGTGGCATGCTTGGTCTGTGATCTTGTTCGTCTTTGTTCTTGCTGTTGCAGGTATTTTTAATTTTCTTCTTCTTCTTCTTCTTCTTCTTTTTTGGTGGTCTGATGGGTTGGATGTTGAATTACATGAAATGCTTTAATTATTTTAATTAGACGCTGTTTCGTTACTAATAGGAGGAAGAACTCTGAATTATTCTAAATTTATTTGATTTTCAGTTAACTGGGAATGTTATAATTAAGGTGAGTTTCCAGTTATAAGTAAATTATGAACCAAATATTTTTTCCTATCTTTGTTGCCGGCAATGATTTTCTTTTTCCTTCCGAGGGATCAGATTTTTCTTTCTTGGGTTAATCAAGCATGGTTACTAGGACTAATTCACAAGATTTAAGATTCTCATCCAGATTCAGAATCAATTTGGTAGTGTAGAATGTATCAATCTGACGTATTCCATGTGAAATTCACTATGGATCATACTTTCTACATGTGGAAGTATTTCATTTTCTTGCCCACAAAGGTCTGGACTCTAGAATACCAAATTCAGTATTGAAAAATTTCTGTTCACGTGTATATCGACATTTGAAAGCTATTGCTGTTTAGTCCTATTTGTGCTTTAATTATGCATCACTTTGGAACAATGGATGCTACACTCGATATGAGATGTCATTTGCAGATGGATTGAATTTTAGATTAAGTTTTCTTCAAGTGAACTTGGTGACTACAAATATGTCTTGTAACTTCAATTTTCATGTTATGAATGTAAATGTAAATCAATCAAGTTCTGCATTTTCTGCCTTGGTAATTCTCCATCCGCATGCATTCATATTTCTTGTCTTTCCATTGAGCTGTTACTGACAAAAAAAAAGATTGCAGTCCTGAGTGTAAGTGTGGAACATGATACTGCCATCCCAGCGGCAAAGAAAGTGTACATACATCCTCCTAGTGCTGATCGCATAATGCTACCAGATGGTAGATATATGGCATATAGAGAGCAAGGCCTTCCAGCTGACAGAGCTAGATTTACAATGATCATTCCACATTCGTTTCTTTCTTCCCGACTTGCAGGTTTGATATCAAAATTGAGTAAATAAGAACTTGATTTTATTGAGTAACATGTGTTCATACAATTCACACTTATCTTCTCAGTTTGTGTGTTTTCTCACCCCAATTACTAGGGATTCCTGGACTTAAGGCTTCACTACTAGAAGAGTTTGGTGTGCGCTTGTTAACTTATGATCTTCCAGGTTTTGGTGAGAGTGATCCTCACCCCAAGCGAAACCTGGAGTCATCAGCATCAGATATGCTGTTCTTAGCAAATTCTCTTGGTGTCAGTGACAAGTTTTGGGTAGTTGGATACTCAAGCGGTAGCCTGCATGCTTGGGCTGCTCTCAAATATATTCCTGATAGACTTGCTGGTAAGAATATTATTTTTATCTACACTATCATTAGTTTGTAATGGTTTCTTGCATCTCCTCTACTGATAACCTTAGTACTGGCTAGCTAGTAACGAAAAAACTATGAGAAATTTAGTTGTTTTAAAATGCATAATGAAGCTAATTAATTTTCCATTATTGGAAAGAAAAAGGCATTGTACTTGTCGTGGTCAAACAGTTTATGCTGTTTAACCACTTCAAAAGAAAAAAAAAAAGTTTATGCTGTTTAAAACAATACTATTAAAGTGATAAACATCTTTTATTCTTTCTGCTAGATATTTGTTGCTTGGAAGGTTGATTCAGCTGAGGCTGCATCTCTTTAGTAATGGACATCTTTCCCTAGGAAAACAGGAACAAAGTATGGTGGCTTCTTAAAGACTTTGCTGCATATACTTATCTTTTAACTAGGTAATAAAAAGAGGTGGAGAGAATGCTCATCTGTTGGTAGGAGAAATCTCATTGTGAAAATCAGAAATGAGATTGTCTACAAAGTAAAAGGTGTTTGCATGTCTAGTTGCAAGTGAACCTAGATAGTTCTGGAGGTAACTGATTGAAACATCAAACTCTTCACTCAAAATGTTACTGCTGTAAAACAGCTGGGCTGTTTTTCAGTTCTGGGTGCAAAGTTGCTTTAGTTCATAAGTTTGTAGTAGCCTTTGAAATCATTGCACATCCTGTGCAAAGTCCAAGGAGTTTCATTTCAATTTTCACAAGAGTTGTAAAACTATGCACTCTGTCCTAGTTGAATGGATTGTGGAAATAGCACCTGCATTACAACCCTTGTGAGACTACCATGTTTATCATTGGTGACAAAGTGGTAAAACTTAAAATAAAATGGTTCTTTGCTTAATTATGTTGGAATGTAGTCAAATCTTTTTTTTTTCTTTTTGGGGGTAGGAGGCTGGGTGGTGGGGGACAAAACCAATAAATATTGATGAGGTCCATGCAAAGTTTGGTGCATTATCATCATTTGAATTGTTTGTGATTTAACAATTTCTGTGCTTTCCTCATTTGTTGCATTGTTATAGGAAATGAAATTTTCCGCTATACTCTGGACGTGAATACATCTTGATTCATCATGGCTAAATTGCAGGTGCAGCTATGTTTGCTCCAATGGTTAGTCCCTATGATTTATTGATGAATAGGGGAGAAAAATATGGAACATGGGAAAAGTGGACACGTAAAAGGAAATTTATGTACTTGTTGGCTCGAAGAGTTTCCTAAATCTCTATCTTACTTCTACCAAAGAAGCTTCCTCTCTTGGAAAGCATGGTCAGATTGATCAATGGCTAGCATTGACACTAGAAAGGAGGGTGAGTGATTCTGAACACTATGAACTCTTGAAGGTTTTAGAAACCATCTCTAGTTTTATAACTTTTTTATTTATTATTTTTTTTTGGGGGGGTGGGGGGTGAGGTTGTGGGGGTGGGTGGTGTAGGGGAAAGGGATGGGGATGGGGGAGTAAAATTTCATGTTTTCAGAAAATTTAGGTAGTGAAAGGAAAGTTATATGAAATGTTTATTGATGATAGAGTTCATGAAGTGCCTATGCCAATTGTTGAGACCTAGCATGCCCTTATATGATGTGGTTTGGTCTCTCTGTTGCTTCTATAGTCAAGTAGGAAGACTACCTTGGTGTTGTAATGCATACAGCATGAAATCCGAAGCTAAAATAAGGCCATGCCATGAGTGTAAATAGAGACTTGAGAGCATTAAATAGTTAAGGTGATGTATAAGCAGAGTTAGTGCAAGATTTACACAGTATGTATACTGGGTTTCTTTTTGTTCTTAATTTTACAGCCATAAAAACTGAACCAAAGTTGTTAGTCTTTGCCTCATCGTTTCTCAGGCACATGCTGAAGAATGTTGTAAATGAAGCACTTGGCAGTGTACTTTGACAGAAATTTTTTATTTCGGAACTTAAAAATAAAAAATCTTTTGCTATCTGTAGAAAGGGATGAAACATGTATGGCATTCAATAATTTGTTTCACTACTGAATGTAGCAATATACCTTCAATAGATTTGTTTTTAGCTGTAATAGCATATTGTTTTTATAAGAGTAATCTGTATAAGAATAAAAGCCTCAATGAGTTGGGAACTTCAAGCCTAAACCACCTAAGTTATTTATAGTCCTAATCAAAAGCAGCTTTCCTAAGTGGAAATGGTAAATATGGATATAGAATCTGGTCCTGCACACTTCTGATTACAGGAAAGAAATCATCCACATGATAGGCACTTATTTGATTCACAACATGTATGAAAACATTATGTTTAGTTCTTCATATGCAAATTTTTAGAATACACTGATCTTGACTGTGGAAGTATATCATATTGTGAACAAGTTAAAAGCTTGCTGTAGTTTTTCACTTGCCAAACGTTATATCTAGTTTCTTAAGTTATTGCATTTCCGGTCCTTCCAGGATAGGGCTTTGATTGAAGACCCTGTCTATGAAGAATTTTGGCAAAGGGATGTTGAAGAATCAATCCGACAAGGAAATGCAAAACCTTTTGTGGAGGAAGCTGTATTGCAAGTCTCAAATTGGGGATTCAGCCTTGCAGACCTCAAATTGCAGAAGAAACAACAAGGAAAAGGCATCCTTAATTTGATTAAGTTGTTACTTGGTAGCTCTGAGGTAGAATATACTGGTTTTCTTGGTCCAATACACATATGGCAGGTTTACCTCCATCCTTTTATTCATATATTGCTGCTGCATTGAACTGTAGTTACTGTACTGCTAAAATTGTTTTTCCTGTTCTTTGAGACATGATGGATTTAGTGATCTCTTCTTCTTTACCGTGAGATGTGATAGCTATGAAGTTATTTCCATTAATAGCTTTCTTTTTCCCTTTGTTTTTGTGGTTAATTACTTGCAAATGATTATCGTAGTTAACTTGCTTCACATCTTGGGTTCATGCAGTTGTGCTAATATAATTTGTTAGAACAACAGTTTTCCAAGGCATATTCACTGGGTTTGAGAACAAAGAACCCTCTTTATTAGAAAAAAATAAAGGCTAGAACTCTGGTATCGCTCAACCCATGCTGTCCCCAATCCATAGACGCACACTCAGAAATTAATATTTGTTTTGGAAAGGAGGCACCTCTGGCATTTGTTTCTAAATTCCCAAGATATGCATTTGCGCTATCTAAGATTTGATTAGTCCTTGCAACCTATAAGTTGTGGTTTCATTATTTAGTTTGGGAGCTGAGCAACACATGGATTACTATTTTAGTTTGGAGGAATTATGGAATCTGTATCAAGCCAATATTAATTAATTTAAGTTCTTTTTTTTTTAATTTTATTTACTGAATTTTCTGGTGTTGTACAGGGGATGGATGATAAAGTGGTCCCACCTTCGATGACTGATTTTGTGCATAGGATTCTACCTGGGGCTGCAGTGCATAAACTCCCATATGAGGGCCATTTCACATATTTCTCCTTTTGTGATGAATGCCATAGACAGATATTCACCACGCTTTTTGGAACCCCACAGGGCCCTCTCAACAATACCATAGAAGTAGAGCAAACTCCATTTGATGATATACAAGTGCAGGAAGAGGTAACTCAGGGTGATTTAAAGACAGATTAAGGTATTAAATTTTTCTATAATAGGTTTGACATATAAGGTGTACATATCATAGGTTCATTCTATTACTTGTGAGTAATGAAAGTTAAAAGAATAAAATTTCTTAGATTTATTTTGTCAGTGGGATTGTGAACTTTTAAAGATGTTGGCTACACGGGAAATAATCAAGAAAAGTTAATTTGTTCTTATTCCCAGTTACTTGCTCTCAGTTTAATCTGGAAACTGTAGTTTATTCTTGTGATTAGGTTGACAATAGCTTAACATCTAAGCTTTCTTCTCATCTCAGTTTCTTACACTGTTTCTTAAAATATCTTCAACAAGCCATGACCACAGTTTTAATGTGAAGAGGAACTGGAAGAGTGACTATTACTACAAACCAAACTAGTACTAACCATAAAACAAAGTAGAGAATTTTCCTGCTGTTTCCTACTGTCAATATCTTCGGTAAGACCATGTTTGGGAGGGGAGAAAAGTAGAAAGGTGAAATACTGTCTGATCGAAAGTTTACATTATGCTGTAAGGTATAGGAAGTGAAGTGGTGTAGCATAATTATTGGATCAAACTGTTTTCCTTATACATTTCCTTTGGATCAGAAGGTTTTCCTTATGGCTTGCATAACCGAAGTAAATGTTGGAGCTGCTTTGAGGTAGTTTATATGAACCTGGTGGATTGGTTTATGTTAGAGGATTAGTCTCTAAGCTGCCTGAGATGTTTATCATACATGTATTATGCACAACAAATACCAGCTGGTTGGAATTATGTTGTTAACCTACCTTGTTAGCTATAATACAAAGCACCAGCATCTGATTGATTAATCTAGATCTAGATCAATCATTTTTACTTAGACCTTGGCACATTTTCTGCGTTGATTAAGCCTTTTTTCTTTTTCCTATTGGAAAAATTCTTGTGATTCTTATCAGATAGAAAGACCAAGGAAATTTTAGAATTAAAAAGATCATCAGAAACTTGAAAAAGGCAGTGATACAATAGCTTGCAGTTGAATTGTTCTATCGGGCCATTTCTTCCGTCAATGAGCAAGTGCAAGCCTAAACCGTTACTAACCTTTTTACCTCCAAGCCCACCAACTCTTCCGGTGCATTCTCATTAGCACTCCAAAGCTGGTTGCCAGTACCTTCATCAACTGCGCTTGAACCTCGGCAACAGGAACCTTCCTAAGACTGTTGCCAGAGAGAAATAAATCATCAAGCACACTCTCAAGAATACAAATAATTGATCTGGTTTGATCTTTTGATGACTTATGTTCACTTACACGGCAATAGAGATTATAAGATCAATCTGATTATAAGATCAATCTTAAACTCACTCTCGTCTCACTCGCAGACAAATCTCTTCTTCTAGATCAAGGTGCTCTCTATCCCCTCTCTTAGCTTAATGATTTTCTTTAAATCCATAAGGAACAAGTACAAGAGTCTTATTCTAGTATAATTAGAATTAAAATATCTTAGTATAACTAGAATTCAACATTATTACAACAAATCTCCTCTATTGACTTGAATTCATCAAGCTCTACTAGTCTACTTCACAAACCAATTTTTATCCGCACCACCATTGCCCAAAGGGCTTCAAGCACGGCAAACACTAATCAAGTCCTAGTAATGCTTGAATTTTATTGAAAAACTTAGTCAACATATTTGTCGAAATTTCAATTGTAATTACTTTTTTCATTATAATCTCATCTCTGCAAACAATCCCTTGAATAAAATTAACAATCTCTTGAATAAAATTAAACTTGACTTAGATGTTGCAAGTTTACTCATGAAACATCTAATTTTTAGTCAAATGTATATCACTTTGATTATCGCAAAATACAATTGTTTGTACTTATCCAAAATCAATAACACTAACCAAGTCTCAAAGCTATTAAGCCTCATACACTGCCTCGGGCACAATCATACATTCAAGTTTAGTTATAGACAAAGTAACTGTAGATTGGAGAAATGTTTTTCAGCTAATTGCAAATATTGAAAAAGTGAATATATACCCCATTTGAGATCGTTTATGATCTAGGTTACTAATAAAATTTGAATTGAAGAAGTCAAGCGTATTGCAACTAATGCCTGCACCTCCTTCATACATTAAGCCAATATCCATGCTCTTTTGATGTTGAGCTATTCCCTTCATAGCTTGCCAACGTCTTTTTCCCAATTTGCCTATGAATCTATTGACCACACTGGCAGCATGTAAGATATATGGTCTACGACAGACCATAACGTACCGTTGTGATGATAAATCAGTTAAAAGTTTTAAGTGTAGCCTTAATGAAGTAGTCACAAACTTGATATATTGCATCTTAAAATATTCTTGAATATGCATTTTTTATGACAAATATAACCTAGACACAAATCTATTTTTAATTATTTTGTAACATTTAAGTCTTTCATCTCATACTCACCACTAAATTACTTTTTATTACATCAATACCTGTTATATTTTTAGTAACAATAAGTATGTCATCTACATACAACAACAAAATAGATAAATAGATCACCAAAAAGCTTTTTATAGTAGACGCAATTATCATATACACTCCCAATATACTCATATGCTTTTATGAACATATCAAACATTTTATATCATTGTCCAAGAAACTGTTTCAAGCCATATAACGACCTTTTAAGTAAACAAACGTAGTCGTCCATATTTGAAACAATGAATTCCTTTTAAGTTATTGCATGTATACTCACTTTTCAGGCTCATCATGTGAGAATGTTGTCTAAATACCAAATTGCTTCAACTAATGTCAAAGTAAGCTATTATCAGAAATGACACTTGGATTGAACTATGCTTCATGATGAGAGAGAATGCTTTATTGTAATTGATAACAAAAATGAACCACATAACAAGGTTAAATGTGAAAAACCTAATTCTTTCTATAATTTTCTTTTATGAATTATTAAAAAGAAAACGAGAATATTAAAGATTTCCTTAGCTATTTGCTTCTACATATTAACACTTTTTTGAAAAGTAAAAAACACTTTGCTTCATAACTTAGTTTAAAGACTCAAGTAGGCTTCTTGTACGAAGTAAAAATTTTAAACTCTTGAAAGCGAAGCACTTTATTTTTACTTTTACATTATAATGAAAAACATTTCGTAAGTGTAATAATTTTCTTGACATAATATTTTAACAAACTTTAGTCAATGCAAATTATGAGCCGTTCGTCATTCAAGGCCAACCCTCAGCTTCCATGGGCCATGGCGGCTTTGATCGAGTGGATGAGTCATGCCAAGCCACATAATTCACTTGACTTGACACCTCTATTTCCAAGTTTTAAGTTTTTAAACATTTTTAATGTAAATAAAAAATTAAAAATTCGGAAAAAAGAGAGGTAAAAACTAAATATTAATATTATACGACTCTACTTAAAAAACTTAAAGAGTGTTTTAAAATTAATTTAAATATTATTTTATTAATAATATTTTGTATTAAATAAATGTTGTACTCGATAATTAATATAATAATTTCATTGAAAAGAGTATTTTTTTAATTTGGTAACCCTTACTAAAATGAGAAAAGTAAAATCTAAAACAAAATGCGTAGAAATAAGGCGTGCCACAAAACGTGCAACTGTTAGCCACGGATCCCCACAGTTAACCCTGTCCTTGCGACCACCAAATCGCCCCTACTCGACGGGTCACTCCTTCCTCGTTTGGTTTTCTGAGCACACTTTCTAGAGAGCTTCGTGTAAGCTGAATAGCTTGCGCAGCTCCCGCTGATATTTAACAAATAACTATTTCCTTCTTGGACCCTTCCTCCAGTATTGAATGTCGGCATCGCAGAGATTTCTCTGCACTCTCTCCCATTCTCTTCCCAATAAATCCACTCCGTTGACTCTCCTCCGCTTTTCTCCTTCCTATTATTCTACTTTCTGTCGCCCTCGCTCTCTTTCTCGCCTAATCATGCCCCAGAATCAGGTAACATAACTTTTTATTTTATAAATGGAACTTTTACCTTTATTCTCTGTTTGGCTCAAAAGAAATTTTTTTTTTGAAACAAAAATGGAAGGAAAAGCCAAAGCCGAAGGCGGTTTCGTCTGCCTCCGCATCAGTTGTTGAAGCCGTTACTAACAAACTCGGCGATTTGATTATCTCTGAAAATAATAACGGCCAAATTTGGAAGCCGAAGTCGTATGGAACTGTGAGTGGACCCGTCGCCGCCGCCGCCACCGCCGTCGATGTTCAAACCGAGAAGAGAAGTGTTGATTTGAGTAAAATTTTGAAGCCTAATTTGTTAGATAATTTCAGTGTTGATAATTCGACTTATTCACTTGCACAAATCAGAGCTACTTTTTATCCGAAATTCGAAAATGAAAAGTCTGATCAAGAGGTAACTGCTTGTTTATTTTTTCATCGTTTTTGAATGATGAGGCAATATTTTTCTTGTTAATTAATTTTGGTTGGCTCTGAATGTGTTTAGATTAGGATACGGATGATCGAGACGGTGTCTAAAGGTTTGGCTACTTTGGAGGTATGGATTACGCGGCTCTTTACCTTTATTTGGAAAAGGGAGAAGAGTTGTAAAGTTCTTTATTAAGAAGCTTGTGCTTCTTTTTGCTATAATAGTTTTGTACATCATTTTAAAAAGGCAATGTATAGAATAACTTTAAGATTTTGTTTTACGTTCCTTTTGGTGTTAATTTTGCTATTTACTTTCGCTTCTTCTGAAAGTTACTAAAATGGAAAAGCAAAGAGTAGAAAACAATGAGCAAATTGTTAAAAATGTATATAGAAAAGTAAAATTCATACGAATTTGATATTTACAAGAAGTTAGTTTCAAATATTCTGAAAGCCAAAAGCAAGTAGAAAAAGTGACAACCAAATGTAAGCTTGTTTTTTAGTATTTGTGTTTAGAAATGTGTATAAATTTTTATACGTATAAATTTGGAACTTCCACAGGTTTCGCATAAACACTCTGGATCTCTGTTTATGTACGCGGGTAATGAGGGCGGAGCATATGCTAAAAACAGCTTTGGAAATATGTATGCTTGCAAAAATCCTGGATCCTCTTCTCTTTACTATTCTTTTGGCTGGTGGTTCTTCTATTGATTCTAATTTGATGATTCAAACTCTGACTTAATCTATGTTTCAATTAAACCTGTCAGTGTGCTATATGTGATGTGTTTGACTTATAATTACTTCGTTCTTTTTAATCAGTGGTTACTTGTGTTGTAGTGTAAAATTGAGTATTAGATGTGCAATGTATCAGCAAAAAAGAGAAATTAATAGTTGTATTATAGATTACAGATATATAGGCAGATCCCCTTTCGTGAAGTATAGCTTATTACAAAATATAAAAAATTGTATAAAATATGAGAATGCAGTGAAATATAAAAATATAAAAATTGTACAAAATGACAACACATCAATGAGATGTGCCTTTTAGTTGCCTATTTCCTTTCAAAAAGCATGCCTAGTTGCCAAAGCTGCGTGCCTTGGTAAAGCGACCTTAATGTTGGGGGGGAGGGGGGGGGGGGTGGGTTCATCTCCAAAAGCACCTGACATTAGCACTGGGCATGCCAAGTTACTTGTCTTGACTGCACTGTATATATCTTTCTCTTTTCTCCGTTCTGGTTTCTGCTGTTTTTCCTCCGTTGTAACTCATGGGATTTAACATTTGCTGTAGTTACACTGCTGTTGGTGTTTTTGTTCTTGGGAGGATGTTTCGTGAGGCATGGGGAAGTAAAGCTGGAGAGAAGCAAGCACAATTCAATGATTTTATTGAGGTAGCATTCTAATTACAATTGTGGATGAACATAGAGTGCAAAAGAAAACAACCGAAATGAACATTATATGAATTCACAGCATTCTAGCCAGTTAGAGTTTGCTTGATCTCTGTCTATCTCTTGCCATGCTATTTCATCTTTTCATGTCTATATGTAGAAATATTGCTAATAGTACTGGGACTCAATGCCATGGTGATGATTTAATTTAAAAGACTCATGAAAGGAGAATTATGATTAATTAGCTGTTGGACAGGCAGAATGTAACTCTAGCTTGTGTTTTGCTTGTATACCTTTTGCTTTGGGGTTTGGTTCTGGAACAAGGACTCGTTTCACAGTGAATTAAACTGTGAAAAATCAATTACATGCGGCAGGATATATGGTAAAATGCAGTGTGAGTGCAATTGATGCTTGCCTCCATTTCCTGTTAACTTGCTATTCTCTCTTTGATATCATTTTTCCTCCCTTAAAAAGATTCAATTGTTAATATTCATTGAGCCACCTTTTTTTATTCCCTGGCCTTAGAGGCAGGAGACCAGCCTCTTTTGGCTGCCTAGTTGATCTCTAATATTCTAGATCTATATTCTTTCTGCATCAATTACCATTGCTACTGAAATTTCTTTTGCCTTTTAACAGACTGTTTTATGATCTTTAATCTTTCTTTCAGCATAATCATATGTGCATATCAATGGAGTTGGTAACTGCTGTTCTTGGAGATCATGGACAGCGCCCTCGAGAAGACTATGGTTAAGTTTTTTTTAATTTTTTTTTCACTTTCTTCTTATTGCTTTGAGATGTTTTACTAGCTGTCAATCGAATTATGTTGATGATCAACAAAATTATTTTAAACATATAGTAAGAAAAAGTGATCTAACTTTTCTTATTAATATGTAGAGTCTCTTTTAGTGCTGTTAGAAATTTTCTGGGATAGGGGTAGTTTTTTCAGCTTAGTTAATGAAATGTCAGTGCAAATGCTGGTTTTTGTTCCATTTTTAAAATGAAAATTATTTTATAGTACTGTCTATGATGAAACTATCCATATTAATGTGCGCCATTATTTAATATTGTTTGTCCTACATTCTGTAATATTTATATTCTTGCTTCCTTCAGCGGTAGTAACAGCTGTCACTGAATTGGGCAACAGAAAGCCAAAGTTCTACTCAACTCCTGAAGTAATTGCTTTTTGTCGTAAATGGCGTCTACCAACAAATCACATATGGTTGTTCTCAACAAGGTGATGATCTAGGATTTTTATGGTTATCAAAATTCAAAAATTGGTTTGATAAATTAACTGTACATCTACACGTCCTTAAAATAATTGTGTTTATGGGGTTCTTTATCGTGATGACATGGAGAATCAGATATTTTTGCTGGTATTTAAGGTCTACTTTGCTCATGTGATTGCCTGCTTCTTGTTTTTATCAACAAGATAAAGCAGAAATTTTGAATTGATATTAAATTTCGAAATTCACATGGCTTTCCTTTTCTTGAGTTTGTTGATAAGTAAGTTTTTACCCAAAATTTGTATTCAATAGACTTAGCACAAATTCTTATTTGTGCCTTATCATATGTCATTTCTTTCCTTGTTGCCTCTCACAAACTTGGTTGACTTGAAAGTTTAGAGTTTCTTAACATGGCTCATCTTAAAATTGTGCAATTATTTGTGATTACTGGTTAGTTTGTGGCATTAGTAGCTATTTTTCATCCTTTAGCATCATCTTTTCTTTCTTATTAGTACTGCAATTTCTCTTTCAACAAATGCATTTTTGCTAATTCTTTGAACATAATTTTTTGATTGTGGCATCCACTATTTTGTAAGTTCTTCTCTTAGATGCATATGGATTATGAGACTGCAAGAAAAGCTTCTGATTAATCTTCTATAACTGTAGGAAGTCAGTGACATCATTTTTTGCTGCTTATGATGCGCTATGTGAAGAAGGAACAGCGACTTCTGTATGTAGGGCTCTCGATGAAGTTGCGGATATATCTGTACCTGGTAAAGTTTTTTACTCAAGTATCTTTCAGTTAGCTGGTCAGTTGCTTCTGCTTTTTGAACAAAGTGCCATTTGTATTGGAAGTATTGCCAGTTCCAAACTGTAGACCAAGTCTAGCTATTACCAATCAGAAGGAGTTCTTGAAATGAACAAGTAGGAGGAAAGAATAGATGGTTTTTAAAATGCTATGTCCAATCAAAAGGTAAATTGTAAAAAGTGCATGAAAAGCATGCCTCACTTAAATGTCCCTTTAATTTCTTTTGTTAGCTATGGGCGAGTATTTTGTGATGACTTTTGCTTAATTATGATAGCACTTGATCTTTGAACCACCTTAAGCAATTTAATGAGGCAAATCTTTTAATGTTTATTTAAAGATCATATACTTAAAGCTCTTTAGACATGATAAATTGAACTTTCTTTGTTATAGATATAAATTAATTTTCAAAATTAGTGCCTTACTTCACTGAGGTGAACACTTTTGTTGTGCCTTGTGCCTTGGATGATATGGGGGTCCTATTGCCTAGGGATGTGCATTATACCTTTGACAACACTGGATGGTAATGTGGAAATGTATGTCCTCAAATGGTTTGGGAGAGGAGTGTACTTTCCATGTCATTATAATCACCTCTAATACATGCTAGTCTCACTATTTTTTACACCTATTAAACAACATTTTCATCACAGATGCATAAGCTGCATTACCAAGTCACTGATTCCAGCTTAAATTGTGCATTTGCTTCTGTGGCTGACACTATCATGAAGTGACTGCTTGGAAGCAATTGTTTGCAAATTTTCTTTTTGCATCCTCAACATTTAGGGTCAGTGTTATTGGATTCAAGTGGTGCTGTGTTATTCTCTGGTAAATTTAAATGAATTTATCGTGATGTATCTGAGCTGCATTTAATCAACATGTTACCAACACGCAGGTTCAAAAGATCATATAAAGGTGCAGGGAGAAATCTTAGAGGGTCTTGTAGCCCGTATTGTAAGTCATGAGAGCTCAAAACATATGGAGGAGGTCTTGAAAGATCACCCTCCTCCACCTGCTGATGGAGGTATGATGCTGTATCTTCTCATTCATTTTGTTTATATTCTTGATTATGAAGTAAATTTCTTGTGAAGACATATCTGTCTTTCATCCTTTTTTCTTTTCTTGCATATATTTCTTTTTTTTTCTAATACATTTATATACTTTTAACACACTCCTAAGAGAACCAGCATGTTGGTTTGTAGTTAGAAGCTGAGTGAACTATTTAAAAAGCCCAAGACCACTATTATGATTCAACCAGATAGTATAATTCCTGTGTCAAAAGTGCAAGCACCCTTGCCTATGCCTAGGGAATCAGAAATCAACTCTCCTGAGTCACCAGAGGGGCTATTCCTTCATTTTTTGACACTTGAGCTTCAAGCAAAAGTTGTGTGTTATTATTCTTAACTATGGTGCATGCGCTGCTTTACTTTTTTCCATTTGAATTCTTTGCATGGTTTTTGCTTGAGAGCAGACTTTAAATTTAACATGTTGGCTGTTAAAAGACGTGTATCTCTTGAGTCAAAACTAATTAATTCTCTTTTTAAATAATGTAATTTCCCTGCCTACTTCAGCTGGCATAGATTTGGGACCAAGTCTAAGGGAAATTTGTGCTGCAAATAGGTCAGATGAAAGACAGGTGACTTGGAATTTCTTTGAATAAGAAATACTGTACTTTGTCTTCTGGTTATTTGTGACACATTTGATTAAGAAATTATATCACTTGGGATACTTTTTTATCTGTGAATCTTTTTCTTTTTCTTGAATCTACGACTGCAGCAAATAAAGGCACTCCTTCAAAATGTTGGTTCTTCTTTCTGCCCTGATCATTCAGACTGGTATGATGATGCACATTCAAGAAATGCAGATAGATCTGTTCTTTCAAAATTTTTGCAAGCTCATCCTGCTGATTATACAACCACTAAGTTGCAGGTTAGGCTACTCCACATTCTCATTTTTCTTCCAGCTTCACAGGTTGTTCATATCGAACCAGCCTGAAACCGAACCTGAATAACCACAAACTCGATAGCATGAAATTTGCTATCAACCTCCAACATGTAGTGACTTGACCCAAAAGTCAACAGCCCAAAACTTAAAATGGCCCAAACTGAGCAACCTGAGCTAAAGTGACCCACATGTATTTTCTCCCTCATTACTTTTTTAACTTCTTACCCAAAAGCCAATATAGCTTCTTTCATTGATTGAACTGATTAAATTTTGGTTTCTAAATTTTTGTGATCTCTTCAGTTGTTACATGGATATTTTCATTATAGTTTACACTTGAAATAATAATTTGATTTCTTTATTAAACCAGGAAATGATTCGTCTGATGAGAGAAAAACGTTTCCCAGCTGCATTCAAATGTTATCATAACTTCCACAAAGCTGAATCTGTTTCAAGTGACAACCTTTTCTATAAAATGGTCATTCATGTCCATAGTGACTCAGGATTTCGGCGTTATCAGAAGGAGATGAGGTATTTCTTAAAACTTACTCTATAATTTTTTTAGTTACAGCCATTTTCTTTTTGCTCATTTGTATGGAAGCTTATTAATTATTTCCTGCATCGTCTTATTACGCAAAAAAATTCGGAATGCTTCAGGCAAAAGCCAGGATTATGGCCTCTTTATCGAGGTAAAAATATTTCATTGGCATACGTGGACTATGTTTGAATGTTGAACTTAACAGTTCTTGATGAGTGTTAGTTTTTTGTTAAGGACATTTTTCAATTAGTGAAGGTCTAATATACACTTGAAGGACATAGTTTCAAATTAGTGATCCAGACAAGTATAAGAGTTGTGTTCTTATTTTGCTCATTAACCTATAAATTTGCAGAATATAGAAAAGTGTTTCATGTTCAAGTCTCTAGGAACATGTTTGTGAGAATCTGGTGCTCCAAAATATGTGGATTATTTTATTGTGATAAATAAACCATTTTGCTAAATCTTGCCTGTGTGCTTCATGAATTCCTTTCCTTCTGTTACTAATCTATGTTCATACTTCTTGCAAGATGCTTAGAAATCAAATAATTACAACTTCAGCTCATGTGATTTGTATGATACCATTTTTTCTTTTTTAAAAATTGATTTGAATGATACCTAAACGTTAAATCGGCAGCAGGTCATTGTGACTCATGGAAAACTCAAAAATAAAATAGTTTCTGTGAATATATAGGGGTGAAAAATTTCTTGAACTTAAATTATGTTAGTGTTTGATTTGCTTAAGCTCCCTATACATGACTAGATAGAGTAATGCTTTCTCACAATATCGTAGTTGACAGATAAAACTAATTAAAGGTGGGGTGGAAGTTAATACCTTTATGGAAGGAAACATGCAAACAGCAATATTTTGTGAGGAAAAACAATTTGCTGAGTACGGTTTGCATGATGAAGGTTAGAATTCATTAAGAGAGGATTGCTTCTAGTAGATCTTAATAAGAATTTAGACAATCTTATTGTCGGAAGAACTATCATGTTGAGAAAGCAAAATAATATTAGCAAAATAATATTATGCAGTGCATGCACCCATAAGAAGAAAAATCAATAAAGCAGCTGAGATCTTTTCATCCCAAATTGTTTAATGGTACCTGAAGTAGATTGTTGGTAATACCTAGGGTTTAATATGCTTGATTTTGCTGTAAACCTTGTTGTCATTAGTCCTTACTGGAATTTCATAATAGAAAAAACTAAGATGATGTACTTGTTTACCATGGGAATCTTAGATTCCCTCCTCTGTACTAAAATTGCTTTAGCTTAGTCAATGTTAGCTTTGAATGGTGAAAGTAAACTTTTCTTTTCGTATATTAGACTAAAGTCAATTTCCATAATGTGACTATTCTATTTATAATAGTATAGAGAATTTGAAAAAGACTGAAATAGCCCTAAACCTATATAAGTCATAACAATATATCTCAATCTTTAACACTCCCCCTCAAGCTGGAGCATAGATATTGATCATGCCCAGCTTCTTACGAATATAATCAATCCTAACTGGAGAAAGATTCTTAGTAAACAAATTTGCTGACTGCTCTCCCGTGCTCACATAGGAAGTTGACTGATGAATTATATCATTTTGTATCATGTAAGAAGTAAAACACTCAGAGAAATACTCTTTAGCATTATCACTACAAAGGACATGAAAATTAGAGTGAAATTGAGTACGAATTTCTGCACAAAATGCAACAAAGTTGGAAAGCGACTCAGATTTAAATTTCATTAAATATAATCAAATGCTTTTGGAAAAATCATCAACAAATGTAACAAAATACATAAAACTGTTTTTTTGAAGTCATGGGACATGGACCCCAAACATCAGAATGAGCTAACTCAAAGAGAGATGTAGTCCTTTATTTGACTCTAGACACATATGGCACACGATGGTGCTTGGATTCATCTTTAACTAGTCACAGATACCAACTCAGGACACATTTCTTTAACACTGATAGAGTTGGATGACCAAGCTGACAGTGAAGTTGGAAAGGGGAAAGATCATTGGAACAGGCAATTGATGCACTAGCGGAATGAAGAACAACAACAACTTCATTCCGTAGATATAGTCCTTTGGATTCGCTCTCGCTCCCAATAATCTTCCAAGTCAAGAGATCCTAAAATAAACAATAATCAAGAAAGAAGGCAACACGCACCCGAGCATTTGGCCTATTGGTTGGTGCATTATCCCTCTGCTTAAAGAGCAGGGTTCGAATTCCCCCTCTCCCAATTATAAAAAAAAAAAAAGAAAGAAGGCAACACAATAATGTAAGGCTTTAGTTATTTGGCTAACAAGCATCAAGTTAAATGGATAATTAGGAAGATGCAAAACTGAAGATAAAGGCTATGGTGAAGTAACACACACACTACCACTACTTAAGACTTTAGTAGTAGACCCATTTGCAAGAATGACATTAGTACAATGATTGGAATGTCTATAAGTGGCTAAAATACTTGAATTTGCTGTCATATGGTCAAATGGCACTTGAGTCAATGACCCAATGCTGAGAGGAAGAAGAAAGACATGCTGTGGGATTTCTTAACTAAGGTCGTAGTAGAAGAGGATGAAGGCTGTTGAGACTTTTGGAATTGAGTATACCTAGAAAACTCCTCATCAAACGTAATTATTGTATGGCCTTCAGTGCAGGGTGTAGTGGAGTTGCCAACTTATGATGCTGCATGAGCAAATTTAGAGTGAACAAGATACTACTGCTGTTGCTATTATTGTTGCCCTTATGAAGGAGACTAATAATGATAATATTGTTGTCCCTGTAGGAATTTAGAGCACTGATTCCTGAGGTGACCTTGTTCACCACAATTATAACACACTCTTGGACCTGCACGACCACTTGATCCCTTTCCACCATGGCCTCCTGTAGAATTGCCTCTTCCCTTTATTTATCCTCCTTTATATTCTTTGCTAAACCCCGTAGTACCCTGTGAGATAGCAGATCGGTTAGACACATCACTAGTTGCAAGAACACTTTCCTTGGTAGCACTCAGTACAATGGTAACCACATCAAACAATGAAGAAGCATCCTTGTTAGCCAAGAGCTGAGAATGAATCACATCATACTCTGAATCTGAACCAAATAGCCAACCAAAGACAAACAGTCTCTCACGTTGTTCTTTCATCTTAGCCACATCGGTTGAAAGTGGCATGGCAGTGTAGAAATCGTCTGTAGCACGCTTTTAATCTTAGTAACAATCTATAATTGTCTGTCCATTCTGATTTCAATGACTAACCTCCTGTGATTTGTACCTGAAAAACACATGCGATAACTCCGATAACTCTTTAGCTGTCATAGTATGTTGCATTGAAATAGCCATGTTTCTATCAATACAATTAACAATATGAGAAAACAATCTTTCATCATCTATCATCCATAGGTTGGCGGCATCTTCTTTATCTCGACAGTGTTTAGTAACATGTGCTTCCTTCCCAAGTGCTCTTACATTAACCTTCAATAGAAACTTCCATTTTACTACATTAGAACCATCTCTAGCTAGCATAACAGTAACTATTTTGTGATGTGAGGACACAACCTCCACACTCTTACTACCTTACGACGCCATCTCATTGACCTTTAAACACCACTATTAAAACAATCAACTAACACAATGCAATACTTAATAGCAACGGGTTAAAGAAGACCTAACAACCTAACAAAAATAAATCAACTAATATATCAAAACCAACCAACCTCATATTCAACTAAAAAGGTTTACTATTCTCAACCAACCTCATATTCAACTAAAAAGGTTTACTATTCTCAATGGAACCCGATCCGCATAGTTACAACAATTCGACTAGTACCTTCTTCTTTTTTAGGGTTTTGGATAGGTAGGCTCTGATAGAATAGAGAATATGAAAAAGACTAAAACAGCCCTAAACCTACAATGGCCCTAAACCTACATAACTAATGACAATATATGTTAGTCTTTAATGAAAGCCAAAAAATTTCAGAAAAATGACTGTTTGCATTTTGGAAAAGGGATGCAAGTCCAGAAAAAATTTAAGCTATTTAAATAAGGGGTTAAGATAAAAAACATGCCAAATGACTGAATTTACATGCATATTCATGTAAAATCTGTTTTCTGTCTGATAATATTATTTTCCATTTTTTTCTCTTTTCTTTAAAAGCATTGAAGAAACATACTTGCTTGTGTTGCAAAAAGTTAGTTATTCTCATGCTCTTTGTTTTTTAGTCAGGTTTTTTTCTTGATATTAATTTGTTCAAGGCAAACAAGGAAAGAGCTGCTGAAATTGCGAAAAGCAACAATGATCTGGTAGGAAATGTAAATAATGACAGTAATATATCCACAAGAGATGGTTTGGCCGATGATGATGCAAATCTAATGATTAAACTGAAGTTCCTTACGTATAAGGTATACTTACTTCTACAACTTTCTTGATGCAAAGGAGGCACTTATGTTTAATTTTTCTATGAGATTGGATTTGATGATTTGGCCATCTTTATAATGTTTATAGAAAGTGAGTAATTGTCCTTGCTTAGATTTTCGGTTTGAAGATTTGTTGTTGGCATCAAAATGATAACTACAAGGCTAAGAGAATTCCGTTACATGAATCAATATAGCCTTTCCTTTTTATCATTATAATTGATACATGGCATTTAGCATTTTGAGCATCACATTAAGAAAGTATTCTTCTCTGTTTTACCTCTGCTGTTTATTTTTTCTTTTTTCTATAAAATGGTAATTTTATGTGATAGTTATCAGAACAAGGTGTGTTGTGGTGTAAATATACAAATATTTTTTCTTTAGTGAGTATTATTGGCCATTATTTATTGAGCAGACAAATTGATAGAGGATGGACATTCATTTCGTATTTTCTTATAATTCTGCTTCTTGTATGGTTCCCAAATAGTAATTTTCATCAGATATTCCTTTGGAGTCTGACTCTCATCGTGCTTTGTCCTTTTCCTCCCGCCAGTTGAGAACATTTCTGATCCGCAATGGGTTGTCAATCCTTTTCAAGGATGGGCCAGCTGCTTACAAGGCTTACTACCTGAGGTGAGGTTTGAAAGGAAGGTGTAAGATGATACTTCACTATTTGGTGAATTATAATAAGGAGCAAAAAATTGCGAGGCTTTGGTACTTGGTTGTTAGATAGTAATTATGGTCAGATGTTGGCCATCTCTCTGTCTCTCTCTCATATTATATATTACGTTTTTTCCCTTTCTAATATCTTACACTTTATCACATATTCTTTTGACTGTGGTGATATGTGATTACCCACAAAGTTTGTACTATCATGATGTTTGCATTTTCAAATTCTAAAATAAATCAATAAAAATTGTATATAGACTTCAATTCAGGCCCATTTATGTAAAATTTTCTTCCTTTCTGGTATTTAGGCAAATGAAGATTTGGGGCACTTCAGCAGGGAAGCGGGAAGAGCTCAGCAAGATGCTTGATGAATGGTAATGATGAAATTATAATTCTGCACACTTGGGATATGAATTTCATTCTCTCCTTGTTCTCTTGGGCTTTTATTTATTTTTCTGCTTTAATTTCAGGGCTGTGTACATTCGAAGGAAGTGTGGAAACAAACAATTATCATCAGCAATATACCTTTCAGAAGCGGAGCCATTTCTTGAACAGTATGCAAAGCGCAGTCCAGAGAATCAGGCTCTAATTGGCTCTGCTGGGAACTTGGTGCAAACTGAAGATTTCTTGGCAATTGTTGAAGGAGGCAGAGATGAAGAGGGTGATCTCGTGACAGAGAAGGAGGCAGCAGCAGCAAGTCTTAGCCCCTCAGTCAAGGACACTATTCAGAAAGATGAGGGTTTGATTGTATTTTTCCCTGGTAATTTTAATTTGCCAATTGGCTGAAGCCTCAATTTACTTTCTTGTTGAGAAGTTTTTTACTGTTATCCGGGGAATTAACTCACACTGAAGGTCACTGAAATATTCACTGGTGGCTGTTGCAAAATGTTAAGATCTGATTTTAAGATATATTCTTTTTTAGTTGCTAAAAGATAGGATCTTTGGCTCTTGAAGGCAAAAGGGTGTCTGACAATAGATCTAGGCTCCTTGAATTTCTTAACAGCAGCCAAAAAGTGCATTTGTGGAAGCACTTACTGGCCATGGAATGCATAGGAATTTTTAGAGAAAATACATTAGAATTGTCTTTTGAACCCTTCAGTCCTTTTAGTTAACACTTAAACAAAGCAAATTTTTTGCAAAAGTTTTCCTTTTTCCTGCAGTTATATGCACATCGTGTGGTCAAAAACTAGTAAAATTGTTTATCCAACATCTGAAACATATTAAGAAGAAAAACTTATTAACACACCAACTTTCATCCTTTTGTTATCAGAATTCATGTTTAATATGTAAAACATTCGTTATGCATTTTCTTGCATTTATAATGTAAATATTACTGCCTAAGTTTAAAAAGTATGATCTTGAAAATTGCAATATGATGTGATAATGCATAATACAAATATACTAAAACTGTCCTCCCTAGTTTCCTACTCGGTTTTTTAACCATAAAAATAAGTCTCTTTAACAAATATATGCTATTATTTAACAGGAGCCTCCTTGACCATAAGTACATAGATTGAGTGGTTGTTGGTAAGGAATAGGTGGGTAAATATGTGGACAGTTTAGTTCTTGTGTTCAATACCATGTTTTTGCTTCTGAATTTTTACAGAAAAAACAACTGAAAATAACTGAGAAGAAACAGCTTATAAGCTATCTTCAATGATCATATGCATTTTAATTCTCATAACCAGTACTATTCAATTCTCACATTATGTCTAGTTTGAATCACAATCCAAATAATAATATCTTAAAATTATTATTAGGAATATGAGTAAATTCTCATATATCAAAGACTATAGAGAACCCAATAACTTATTTTAGAAGAGACCTTATGGAATGCAATATAGCCCTGGCAAGTTAATTATGGTACCATGAGCTGCCATGGCAAAATTACAGTTAAATTGCTATCTATAAGTGTTAAGTGTTTAACAATATTTAAGGTGTTTGTGGCAACATATTGTGTGTGTGTGTGTGTGTGTGGATTGGTTATGTTGGAATAATTAAAATTAGAGAGGAGCTTCTAATGTCATTTTTTGGCCCACAAATACAATTCTACATTGTAGGAGAAGCAGCCTTTGTGTTGTGCATTATGGTTTTGTTGCATTCAGCCCAAAAGGATGATGCCAACTGGGCTCTAAAACTCAATAAAACTTCTATTATGTTGGAGTAATGACTCAATATTTACCTGAAGCACTTTTCCTTGGACATTTCGTCTTGGTTTCCGAAAAGGTTATCTTCTTTCTGACCAAGCTTATTGATTTGCCACAAGTTGGTACCTTAAGCTATCTGAGTTGCAGCTTGGACTTAATTGACAGTATAGTGGTATAATTTTGGGTTATCAAATTTGGCTACTGCTAGATGCCTAGAATGTAAAGAATCAGGACCAAACTGTGGTCATTTCAATTTAATTTTCTAAATCAAATAAATTGGTTCTGAATTATTTGTGTGATAGCTTGCTGTTTCCATAATAAATTTAGTGTCAGCCAAAGTTTACCTTGTCCAATATGTATTCCATTTTACATATGGCTTATGGAGACTTTGCCTGATATTACTTTCCAAATATTTTGCAGCGTATTTTTTGCTTATGTTAATCAACATGTTTCAATTGTAGCTCACTTAAAAGTAATATTGCATTTTCTCATGTATGATTCAAGAATGCTATTGTATTGTTCTTTTCTCTATTTACATTATGTGTAATGTTCATTTAATTTCTGTGCATTGACGTCAATATAATTGTGTTTTCAGGAATACCTGGTTGTGCTAAGTCTGCACTTTGCAGAGAACTATTAACTGCCCCAGGAGGACTTGGAGATGATCGGTCAGTTCAGAGTTTGATGGGTGACCTTATCAAAGGTACATGATAAATGTGAAATTGATCTAATATGCTTTCTGAAACCATTTGGTGATTTTAAAACTTTGCTTCATATGTAATAATGATCTTCTTACTCGAAATGTCTCTTTTTTTTTATGAAAGATACTCAAAATGTCTCTTGATCATAATTAAAATCTTCTGTATGCTCAATGGTTTTATGCATATGTCTATCTAAGCCCTTCATCTCTTAATTTTTTTAATATACAAGGTAGAAATGGTTTCACATCCTATTTGCTTGCTGGGGTGTTAACAGCATTAATGATTGGTTGGGATTAGTATTGGTTAAAATATTTTGCAATTTGTATAAATCTGGTGAAATCTTATTGCAAAAAGTTATGTAAAATTTACGTATAAATTTTTGTCACAAAGTTGATATATGCAGGTGAATTTTAAAACAAAATGTATCAATTGTATGAAATACATTTTAGACATGACAAACAAATACAGTTTCATTGTACCTTTAGAGTATGGCTTGTAGTACTTACCTTGGTTGGACCAAAATTAGGAATGCTATTCATGTGTGTGTATGTGTGGTTTCATGCAGAATAAGTTTTTTAATATTTATCAGCCTCCAGTTAAACTTGATTATATAGCATAGTGCAACAAACACTCCATAACTTTTTGTGTGATCAATTTCAACCAGTCAAACTTTTGAATGTACTAGTCTATCTATTGGGATCATAAATGCCAAGTTTGAAATCAATTGAATAACATTATCTTTTTTTATTGAAAGGCAATAACATTATCTATTTAATTTGTGTTTATCAATGATTGCATATAATGCCAAATTTAATTATGACTGGTATAAAAGTTGACAACGCTGGTATTTTTTATTGTTTGTGTATGTGTGTGATAAATCGGACGCTGCTTGGCAAAAAACTTCTATTTTACTTTTGCCAATTCTGACAAGTTACATTGGGACATCAAAAGGAAGGGGTTACTTGACTTTGAGACTTGAATAATTTGATAGGTGCGTTTATGTACAAAATTACAATTACAAGCAATAGGATTGAGCACCAAAGTACATGGATTAGATAATTCGTATATATGGTTTGCTAATAGTTACTTGATGTAATTGAGGTTTTACTTATTTGTATTGTGTTATAAACAGGAAGATATTGGCCAAAAGTTGCTGATGAGCTCAGGAGAAAACCTAATTCTATAATTCTTGCAGATAAGAATGCACCAAATGAAGAAGTTTGGAGACAGGTAACTCTCTCATTGTTTGACATGTGCGGTTAAGAAAAGATAAATGTGAAGGGATTTGACTGACAATAGCTGTTTAATTACTATACACTGAACTTTTGAAAGCTGAACTACCAAATTAACCCTGTACTCAAATGATGGTCTATTGTGATTCTTCTGTTAATAATTACAAGGTTTTTGTGGTGGAAGGTGAGACATATTGCTGAAAGATTAGCTCTCTTTTCCCCTTTGCTGTTCATATGGGTTTTTGGGATTCTAGGAAAATTCATTTGATGGTCCCTTTTGTATCTGCAGATTGAAAACATGTGCCATAGCACCAGAGCTTCAGCTGTTCCCATCATACCTGATTCTGAAGGTTGTATCTTATTCCAACAGAAAGTTGTTAATTTGTTGGGTTTTAAAGTGTTATTGTTGACAAAATGCTGAAGTGTGCTTTGGATGCATTTCATAGTTTGTGTGCTAGTCTGATATACTTTGTCTGCATGATGATTATCTTGAATTTATCCCTTGCTATTCCAGATCTGTCTTTGAATATGGAGTGCATACAGATAAACTAGTCTGTTTTTTTCTGGGGCCTAGGTGGTGTTCAAGTGGGTTAGAATTGATCATTTCCACTTTCAAGTTGTTTGGGTTGATTGGGCCTTGGGTTATTCAAGCATATTAGTAGTTTCACTGTCCAAAAAGAATAATAAACAAAATAGATAGCTTCAGTTTTGGTTGTTTAAAGTCTCAAAATTTTTAGAGTGGGATCATTTTTGCTACTTTTAGCTTTTATGTTCATTGTTTTTTGAGTTTAATGTGTATTTTGGTTTGAGCTGGGTTTATTCCCCCCTCCCAAAAAAATATATGTATATATTTACACATGAGTTTGACTTAATATCCTTAACTTTTTTGATTTATAAAACAGATAGTTGTTGCCTAATTGACATGCCGGATAAATTAAGTACACAAATATTTATGTAGGACTATTAAATGAAGGTTTTAGAAGATTATTGTATTAAACCATTTGGATTGATTACAAAAATTAAAAAAATGTAAAAGCTTTTCTGTCTTCTATTTCAGTATTGGCATCTAAGTTTGTTTTCATGATTTTGTTTTAAATATTGGACAACTTTCAGAAATGTAAGTCATATTCAACACTGCTGACAAGTTGGCTATTACCTGTTTGATGATTTTGTAAGGCTGTCAGATACATATAGCTTACTCACACCAAGATTGTGCTGTGTTTACACATATGGAGGAGAATTAGGAGTCTAGTAATATAGAATTGATGACCTTGCGGATAGGTTATTCATCTATCATCTCAGCCTTAGTTGAATTTCTCTGTCAACATGCAGGGACTGGCTCAAATCCATTTTCTCTTGATGCTTTGGGTGTTTTCATGTTTCGTGTGCTTCAACGAGCCAACCACCCGGTATTCAATTGCCTTTCTCTTTATATTTGTAGGTATGTGAAAAATCACACTCCCAATTGTTACCATCTAGCTAACACTTCCTCAATTTTATAAATTCTAGGGTAATCTTGACAAGGCATCTCAAAATGCTGGCTTTGTGCTGCTAATGTTTTATCACCTTTATGACGGAAAGGTACATTATGCTGTACCAAGTATAGTGTTTACTCTCTTTCACTCAGCATTTTCTAACTCCTGGTCATATATTTAGAGTCGTGAATACTTTGAGGATGAACTGGTTGAACGTTTCGGCTCTCTTGTTAAGATGCCATTGCTGAAACCTGACAGGTGAGAATATTGCCCCCTAAATTAGTTGGCTATTTTAATGTATTTCATTCTACTAGATGAAGGAACCATAAAAAGGATTAGGGAGAATAGAAATAGAGTGAATATGAAGAACCCTGCAAAAAGTTTCAAGAGAAACCAGGAAAAGTAGTTTTTTTTTTTAAATAATAATAATAATCAAGAGAACTGGAAAAGAGGGAAGTTAAAGGTGCTAGCAAGCTGCCCCTTCAACAAAAAATAGGGAAAATGAAAATAAAGGGTGGTACAAAAGACACAAGAAAAGTGAACTGGGCACTTGAGCATTGGTGATGAGATTGCAATCTCTTTCCATTTTACCTGGGAAGGACCTTTTGTGTGAATGACATGTATAATCGAGCAAATCTTTGAATTGTATGTTGGACTACCTCTAAACATTGACTTGATAGTGTTTTGTCATCATCCCTCCCTTCCTTAACCCAATACACAATGAATATTTTCTTATTTTATGAAGAATATGAAACTAAATGCCATTTATTTCAACCTTTTCTCTCCTTTTTGTTAGACTTATATTTTGTGTACTTCTTCCATCTGCAGGAGTCCTCTGCCTGTTCCGTTGAGATTGATTCTGGAAGAGGGAATAAATCGATACGATCTTCACACTAAAAGGCATGGAAGGTTGGTCAAAAGTTTAAACAATATATGCACAAAGTAGTTATACATAAATCTTCTTTGTAGAACAGTCTACAACAATGAATTGAAGGAACTACATGTTATAAACTTTAATTCTTTCTTCTCTTGTTTTTTCTTTTTCTAGCTGATAAATGATTCACTACTTATAAGCTTATTCTAATTCTTGACATGTATTCTGCGTTGGTAACAAAATTTTACGTGGGAATTAAGTCTAAGCTGTTTTTATCTTGTGAATTTGTTTATTTCAAGCGATCATGTGAAATAATCTATTGCATTTTTCCCTTTTCTTTTCTCCCAGTCTCCTGCAGAACTTACTAAGTGGTCCCAGCTTTGGTCCTAGTTTTGCCCATTCCATTGTGGGCTTCCCTTTTGGTGGCAGTATTGTCATTACTTGTTACTGCTTTAACTTTGGTGGATATATTTACATCGTTGTTTCTTGTTTTTTCTGTTAGATTGGAGTCAACCAAAGGCTCATATGCACAGGAGTGGGCTAAATGGGAGAAGAAATTAAGGGACACTTTGTTTGCCAATGCTGAGTATTTTAATTCTATTCAGGTCAACATCATTATCATTATCTTCTTCTACTTATTGCATTCTTTTGTCTAATTACATTTTTCCAGCAGTCAACATGACACTTATCTGCTTATTGTATGCAAATGGAAATAGAAATAATTTCAATTGCAAATGAATTCTGCTGTAGTTTCATATTCTCATGTTTTAAATAACAGAAATTGGCCTACATAATTCATTTTGAGTTACATTTATTAATAAGGATTTTGGGGGAATTTACTTATTCCAAATTCCAAACACGCTTTTAATTATTTTTTTGTGTCTTGTCAGGTTCCATTTGAGTTTGCAGTTCAGCAGGTGGTGGAACAACTGAGAAAGATAGCGAAGGGTGAGTACATGGTCCCAGCTGAGAAGAGGAAGCTTGGAACCATTGTTTTTGCTGCTGTCAATTTGCCTGTTGCAGAGATCCAGAGTGTCCTTAACAAAGTGAGCAATATTCTTTGGCCTCAACTGTTTCGTGTTCATTCGCTAGAAATTTGAGTAATATATTGTGTTGAATGGAGCAGTTGTCTGGGGAGAACGCCAAGGTCGAAGCTTTCCTCAAGGACAAATATATGGAGGACATCCTTAAGAAGGCTCATGTGACTCTTGCTCATAAGAGAAGTCACGGTGTCATAGCTGTGGCTAATTATGGCCTCTACCTCCATCGTCAGGTTCCTGTGGAGCTGACTGCTCTACTCTTCACAGATAAAATGGCTGCACTAGAGGCCCAACTTGGTTCTGTTGATGACGAAAAGATAGTCTCGAAGAACCAGTGGCCCCATGTAACCATATGGACTGCGGAAGGAGTAGCACCCAAGGAGGCCAACACATTACCACAATTGCTTTCAGAAGGGAAGGCAAGTCATGTTGAAATCAACCCACCCATCACAATTTCAGGCAGACTGGAATTTTATTGAAAACTCCGGTATTTACCTTATCTTCATTAGATTATAAGGGTTGCTTATGAATCGGGTTGGGTTGAATTGGGTGCATGCAAATGGAATAGAGGGCTGGGTTGCAAGCTTCCATCTCATGAGATTTTGAGGGATTGCGTACTGAGGTGGCATATTTTGGTTAAAACTGAATTCGGGCTTCCAAGAAATACTCGTGTACATAAAGAGTAGAAACAGAAATTTGTTAAATTTCATGGAGTACTTAATTTGGCAGAAGGAAGAAATTGTGGGACAGTTTACCGTCTGCCACCCTAAACGCCTTAATTCACATGAATAAATATAACTGTTTATATTTTCTAAAATTGTTAAAAGGGTGCTGTTGGAAATAAGTAGAATTATTGCGTCTATCATGGGCGGAGTATTATTTTTCCGTTTAGTGTACGCTGTCCACATTGTTCCTATCATGACTCATTGCATATACTAATCAAGAAATAATCATACAAGTTATGGTTACAAAGATAATCATCAGGCCATATTAAATGCAAATTCAAGACCTGTTACAATTAATTTTATGGACACAATGGGGCGTCACTGTGACAAAATCTTACTGCTCGCAGTGACTGAAGGATGAAGGCTTAGACAACTCCTTGGACTCCTTTCTGTTGGCAGAGTATTGAACATTAAATCAAAACAAAGTCAAGAAATTGTTTGAGCTGCTTTCTGTTGAGGTTTGTGTTCAAAACCTGTCAATGGGTTTCACAACGAGTGTGGGTGATATGTTGCCTCTTCGCTGCAGGTTGGCATTTCATCAGTCGAGACTTGTTGTTGTATGATTTGAGTTTTTGGATCAGCTTTTCGTTTTACTGATCATGTTTTTGACATAGATTTTAGAATGTGAAAATTTTGTAATCCAATGATAATTAATACAAATTCAACTTTTCACAAGCCATAAGACACACCCAGGTTCCAGATACGAAATTGAAACAGTCAATATAGAATTCATGCATGATATTGATGTGAAGGTTATAATCTCTCTGTTTTTTTTTTGGAAAAGATGTAAAGGTTATAACCTTCCTTGAGAGTGTTAAGATTCCAGGTTTAAACCCATCTCCCCTTTAAGCTAGCCAAACGTCTTCAATTTCCATCTCAAAGCAACAAAATCACCGTACAAGTCAATGACCTTGTCATTGAGATTTCTGACCAATACAATAGAAGGATCACCGAGTCAATTGTACTGTTCATGCCTATGGGAGACCCAGAAGATAACTAATGGGTTTTATTACAGCAGTAAAAACATGGTATGACTAAAATCTAGTGAAGCAGCTTCAACAAGAGTAAGAATAGTCTCAAAAGCTTAGGGAAACCATCATCAACTGGACAGACCCTCAGTAGTTAGTGTCATCTGGAAAAATAAATCAATGCCTCAACTCTTGCCAATAGCAAATATCAAAGGCATGGCAGCTTCAAGGGTATGATGAACCCAAATTCTAATCGCATTCATGACCTCATTCCTCATATTGCACTTGTTCCACAGCTAGAGTTGGTAAAATTGCCATGGCCTCACCATCAAGAACAAGAAGCTGACCATTCTTGAAGCACTTGGTTGAGAATTTCGCTCTGAACCATGGAACGGAAAGCTTAAAACCCAAAGGCTAAAATGTCTTGCTTACTTCAACAAAATGTGAAACTAACTGAGGGGGATGTAACTTACAGGTATCTCTTCTTGGTATCTTTTATATTGATAGCTTGTATCTCACCCACTATTTCATCTCCAATATAAACTGGCGACCTGAAGTGCAAGCTTTGCGAAACATATATAGCTCCAGGCTAAATAATTCCAAACACATGCACTTAGCATTAGACGACACACCGAGCCTTGTAATAAATTAAGAAGGTGAAAGTGACTCACAAAGTGGGAGGAAATAATCCGAGGAAACAGTGAAGCAACAAGCATCCCATGTACAAGCCGATCTTCGAACCCAGCAGCTCGAGCAGATTCAGAATCCAAGTGCAAAGGATTTGCATCATGGGTCACTTTAGAATACTCAACAACATCTTTATCTGAGAATATTCTTCTATGTCTTAAAACATCTCCAGCTTTAAGTAGAGGTGCTGTTGATGAAGATGACGACAAGTATCTCAAAGAAGACACATTTACTAAGACAGAACTCTTCACGAACATCCTGAGAAACATGGTTAAAAAGGTGAAGAAACAACTCTTAAAATTGTCTTGGGGTCATTACACCAAACGTGTCAAGTGCAAGCTTGTTTGCAGCTGATGTAGTAATCAAAATCTTTTACCCCTGTGACATGTTAAAGTAAGTAAACGTTGTGTATAATTGAGGTACCTTGAATTTAAGAATCTGGGTGGCGAACAAGTCGACCTTTTAGAATCGAATCTGGCGATTGGGCGGTGGGCTGTTGGCCGTTGAACGTTTGGTAAGCCTTTCCCCAGCGTTGATTGCCATGAAAACGCTAAACCAAGTTATGTACTGGTTGTATGCTTTTTGAGTTGAGCAAAATGGCCTTTGAAATTGTTTTTTGTTTTATTGCGTATCCACTCTCTGATAAAAGATTCAACATTTGATAAGCTTCTGAACATGAAAGTGGCTTATTTATACTATTTTCAGAGTTATTCTAATTGTTTCAATGTTTAAAATTCAAGTTATTTATACTTTGAGAATTTTATTCTAATGTTCTATTCTCTTAAACTCAACTCAACTTAAGAAATGATAATCAATAAATTATGGTAATTGAGTACTTCACAACAGTTAGTCACCATGGCCTACAACAGATGCATTTGAACAAATAATACAGTTTTACAGCAATTCTTGCCAATAGATATATATGCTACAACATCCAATGAATGTTGCAGCTAGCACAAAGAAGCATCTATAAAAACTGTGCTTCTTTTGCACAAGACAATATCATCCCATCACATTCACTTAGGAATCAACTCGTGAAAAGATTATCAAGGAGCTAGGTCACTGTTCTTCTCTAGCTCAAAGGACTGTGAGGTATCAGAGCTCGTGGAGCCACGAGAACTATTGGGAGTGGGGTTTCCGGGGCAAACTGAAGCAAATTGACAATACCGACACTTCCAACGCTCTTCCTCAGGGGTGTAACTGGCTTCTCGCTCACCCAACAAGAATTCGAGACTGCCTTGAATTTGTTTCTTGAGCCAGTCAGGATCATATACAAATTGATCTTCACCAAGCACCGATTGATCTTTTTGTAGTTCATATCTGCTTGAAAGCAATTAGATAACGTGACTTGGTGGAAAACCTCACATATTACTATAGCTAAGGGTTGAACCCACATTGAATAACCTAAATTATATTCTATAATAAATACATTAAGTTCCCTGGATGCTAGTTCATTAAAATGGTTCATCATCACTCCTTTGTTTTTCCAATTTGATATCGGCTAGTGCATTTGATGATAAATACAATTGAGTTCCCACCACAAAAAGTTGACTAACAGGGTTGTCATCATTAATAAACATGGCTTCTAAAATTCTCCTAATTTCTTTTTGTTAAATGTCAAAGCACATATAGGAGGTGCCACTACAACAAAATTTTTAAGGCATCCCAATACACAAAGCAGTAGATAATAACATTGTCAGAAAATATTTCACATTGAGCTGTTTCTGACTGCCTAAACATTTGATTTCGATCTCAGCGAGCCGCTAAAACACCCCATGCTTCACCAAACTAAATCCCAAGCATCTTAATTATGTACATACAATTATGTCATTAATTGTCTCCATGCAATGGTAAAACAAAAATATTCAACTGTCAAAAGTAAACAAAAATTAACAGAAAGTCTTTAAGAGTACTTTTCACCCACCTCAATAGTAGATGGTCCTGAGAAGGGGGAAGCATGCTACATGTATTTCTGTAATATCCCACTATGTCGTCAAGCGTCTGCACAGCCATTGAAGAGGAAAAATATATTTGAGCAAGACTTGAAACCTTGAAGGTATTAAACTAATACTATTAGTTATCTTGGTAGTCTTAAATCTATGTTTCAACTCTCACCATGATGCACAAAAATCATGAGATTTATTAAATAGGCAACAGATTAACCCATCCTCGCCAATGAACAGGAGTCCAGGAAAAAAATATTGAACATAAGTATTGCATATTTTAGGGAATAAAAGTGATGGTACACATCACACACTCTAAATACCCTGACTATCCCAGATTGAATGGAACAAATAAATTAAAAAGAAAATATATGAAGTTACCTTAGTTGGAAAACCTGAATTAGCAGTTTTCTCTCTGATGTCTTCACATAATATATAGTTAGGGTTCAATGAAAAGAAATTAAAAAACTGTCCGGAAGGGAAGCTATCAGCAACCAAGGTGTCCCACAAATATTTGTAGCACATTAATTGAAGCCTGCCGCAAAATAAAGTTTCATCCATGAAATCTTGCCAAAATTGGTACAAGCAATATAAAGTGGATAATAGACTAAAAGAGCTAAAGGCTAGTCATGAGAAAGATTCCAAATCTCAATAGTAATTGCATTAAAACAGAAGCCAGTAAAATATGCATACCTTCCATTTCTCCTTTGTGGTTCACTAGGGAGAGAGTCCCGTACCCGAGTCTTTGTGTCTACTAATATTGGGTTTCTACCACTTCCTTTCTCAGACATTCTGATCTCATCAACAACTCCTACCAACCATACACCTTCCACAAAACCTATTCTGATGTTATATTACATCACAGTCCATCAGCAGGGTAATTAAAATGAAAATCAATAGCTCTAATTTACATCAAAGGAGAAAGAATTACTTGATGGGCAAATTAAACAACTGCCACTGACCTAAAACAAGTTAACAAACCATTATTTGAAATGTCATTTTAACCAATTTTTGAACAACAAAAACTTTAATAAACTAAAACATTTCACCAGCACCATTTGCTATCCAAATCCCAAAACATTGCGTTCAGTAAACTTCTCTTTCATTTCTTCATTTCCACATAAATTTGTAAAATCCTGAAGAATTATTCAGGAAAAGAAAGACCTATCCTGAAGGTTTAAACGCAAGAACAGTAATTAAAACATAATCTGTAGCCAAACTTTATAAAATAGCTATTCTGATATCTAATCTGAGTTCTACAAAGGTTGATCTAGATGCCCGATGAGAAAAACGGCTAATTAAGATATGACAATCTTGAAATATGGATCTAAAAACAGATTCTTCAGAAGTTCTAAACAACCACTTCTGTTAAAATCTATTAGTCAAACCTTGTATGAAAGATGTAATAACCTAGAGCTCAAGCACACCCTGTTACTCTTTCATGCATAAAACGATTGTATAACTCACTGCCATGTCGTGGCTGAGAGTTATCTAAACCATGAGGAGACACAGATATATTCCGATTTTGGAGATATAGTTAAAAAGTTAAACTTACAGCGGTATCTCTCGTGTAAGTCCATCAAACAATAATTGGGTAGCACCAGTTACGAAATCAATAAACTTTATAGCCCAGGTATCTTCATCTGATTGAACACGAACTTTTACTTTCTTAACAACCTGCAAAGGAACACAACCAGTGTCAGATAATTGCATTAAGAGAACCTGACAAGTAATCGGGGAAACATGTAAAAAGCAGTCATATTTAAAGGAAATTTGAAAATTCTGGTGTTTAAAAAGAGAACCTCTTCTTTAAGTTTCAAATGGCGAGCCTGACCAGCTTTCATAGCTTTATTGATTTTTGGTTTGCCAAAGCGGAGGGTAAATTCCATTTGCTTTTCACACCATTCCTACGAAGATTTCAATTGAAGCGCAAGTTTATACTAATGCCGCGTGTCTTCAAATTCAAAAACGCAAATTAAATTTCAAAAGCAAACCAAACCCATAATCTAAAAGCCTTGAAAGAAAAATTCCATACGGCGGCGGTAAGATCAGTAACAGACAATCCCCAATCCCTTCTAAACCGAAGCAAAAAGGGTTGAGCCACTCTGCTCCTCTTCTGGGTACTTCTTAAATTGCAGGAATCTTCTATATCCGGCTCACTAGAACCGTTTAAGCCTCGTTTAGACAAGAGGGAAATCGACTGGATCGACCTCATCTTGCTTTGCAAGCGAGACCGTGAACAAATTGAAGAAGAAACGGACGAGGAGGAGAGAGAGGAACGAGTTGCTGCGTAAGCTGCTTCGATCAGAGCCATCTCTTCTTCACTCACGAACTCGACTGGGATGTTGGGAATGTTTAGTTCTTGGGGGTTTGGAGGTGACTCATCCATTTTCGATTTGATGAGTTTTTTGCGGGGAAACGACCGTTGGGAACAAACAACCGCCCGCCTAATGGGGTGGCTGCTTCAGTTTTTTGCAGTTTGATTCGGCTTTTTAATATTATTATAGGATTCTTTTTTTTTTTTTTGGAGGGAATATTATTATAGATTTGTTCGCATTGAATGGTAAGCAAGGCTTAGAAGTTAGACCTGAAATGTGGCCGTTGCCGTTAGTATAGTAATGGAGCCTTTATAGCAAAGCTTTGGGTTTGAATACAGGAAGTGCGCCTTTGATTTTAGTGGCTTAGTTATGCAAAAAGATTCAGCAGTAAGAGATGGAAACAAGATATCTATCTCTAAGTATAAGTGGGGCTTCCTCCTCTAGCAAGTCACAAAAAAAAAGTATTGCAAAAGGAAAAAGAGACAGAACAAAACCAGTAGAGAGAGGCCCGTGCGTAGTCGAGTGGGCTTTAATGCCATGCATCTATCATGTAATGATGCAGCCGTGTCTAAGCGTTACAGTCACGAATCTATTCTTTTCTCAAAGTTGCCACCATTTGTTTCTTTGTCCGAAAGGATATCAGAAAAGACCCCACTTCATTGCTTTTCGGACCATGTCTTGTTCTCACAACTTTTAGATTTTTCATTAACGAAGAAGCAAGCCCTCTTCCCAATCAGCATTGTTCCTTTCCAGAGTTTGGATTGAGCTTTAGGTATCTAGGCTCCTTCTAGCAGCCTAATTGGAAATTTGCCCCTTTGCCTGTGTTTACTAACTGGGCTTCAGCCCAAGAAGGAAGCGATGATGCACCTAGTCTTAGAGGCTTGATGAAATGAGGACCCATTTCCTTTGACATATTAAAAAGGAGGAAAAACAATCCCCAAGGAAAGGAAAAATATTGAAAATCCAAATAAAAATCAGCACCTAAGGTCAAAGCTCCATGTTAGTTCTTCCAACCAACAAAGAAGACTTCACTTCAAATACACAACTCACATAAGCTTATCTTGTTTAGAACCCCAAGCCAATTGCAATTTTAGTGCTAAAAGGTCATGCTCAACGTAATTGTCTTTTTTCAGTTCGGGTCTCCTTTTGCTCTCCAACACTAGTACATAAGCAAATTAAATACTGTGAAAACAATATTGTAAATCTTAGACATAGCAAAAAAATAATGCAAGGGAAATATGGAATGAACAAATTAAAAGAAGGAACTTACAGAAAAACAAAAACAAAGGAAAGAGGAAGAGATGGATCATGATACTTACACATATTGAAGCAAACAGACTTTGTCTCGCAGATAACTGATATTTCTCACCAGATCTCAACTGTGTCTAAACCATAATCTGCCACCTAAACCAACAAACCATGCATGGATTACACGCGTCTCCCTGCATTCTCTCTTTCTCCTCTACATAAACCCCTCCAACTCAAATCAAACCAAAGAGTCGGCTAAGAAAGCAAAAGCTAAAAATGGGAAAGGGACTGAGCTTGTTGCTGCTAGTACTTGTCGTATGCTATGGAGTGACAATGGCAATGACGTACAAAGAAGAGAAGGAATGGGAGAGGGAAAGAGAAAGAGAATGGAGGGAAGAGAAGGGTGAAGGAGCAGGAAAAGGAGGGGACTGGTTCTTGTTTCCAGACTCAAAGCCTGTGATGAAAACTGATGCTGGAGAGATGAGGGTGGTTAAAAGTATTGGAGGGAGGATTATTGAAAAGCCATTGCACATTGGGTTCATTACAATGGAGCCTAAAACCCTTTTCATTCCTCAATATCTTGACTCCAGTTTGATTCTCTTCGTTCGTAGAGGTATGCCAATTTCTCATTTGTATTTCTGTTGCATTGATTATTACTGCAGTTGCTCAATTACACTATGGAAGTAAAGCAGATCAATGTGAGGAGCAAGGTAAATGCTGATGGATATTGGAATGGATGCAGGGGAAGCCAGGGTAGGCTGCATCTACAAAGATCAGATGGTAGAGAGGCGAATGAGGATCGGAGACGTGTATCATATCCCAGCTGGTTCAACATTCTACATTTTGAACCCAGGGGAGGGGCAGAGGCTTCACATCGTTTGCAGCATTGATCCCTCTGAAAGTTTGCAATTGGGTACTTTCCAGGTACAATACTCATAATTTAGCTCCAGGCTAGGATTCCTTGGCTTGAAAGTTGCTGAAATTAGCTTTTATTTGGTTACACCAATTCGTGATCACAACACTTTTCCCTATTTCTTTTGTCAATGCAAGACTAACATATGAAATGATATACTTTGATTTCTGTGTCTGCATGCAGTCTTTCTTTATTGGCGGAGGAACCTATCCAACATCTATCCTTGCTGGCTTTGGTCCTGAAACTCTCTCAACAGCCTTCAACGTAAGCAAAATACATCATCTCTATAGCCAGCAGACCATTGCGGTGATGCAATGCACTAACCAACATGATTACAGGTCTCAGTGTCGAAACTGACGGGGATTTTAAGACAGCAGCAGCAGGGGCCAATTGTATATCTGACCGAGTCTCGCGCACCAAGCGTTTGGACAAAATTCTCTCAACTTCAAGAGCAAGATAGACTGAAGCATCTGAAGAAATTGATCCAAGAAGAACCAAATAAAGAGGAAGAGCAGCAAACCGAATGGTCATGGAGGAAACTCTTTGACTCATTTTTCGGAAGCGAAGACAAAAATATAGAGGATAAAGCCCCAGACTGTTACAACATCTACAAGAGAAGCCCTGACTTCATGAACAACTATGGATGGAGCATTGCGCTTGATGGATCCGATTATAGCCCTCTCAAATACTGTGGCATCGGCATTTATCTTGTCAATCTTACTGCGGTAATCAATCTCAAAACTTCTCAACTCTGTGCATTACTGTTAATAAACTCTTCTCTAATGGGATTATCACGTGCTACCAACAATTTCGAGCTTGATCTCTACTTTTTTTTAGCAGCTTGATTTAGCTAGAATATTCTTTAATGCAAAAAGAAAAACAAAAAATGTGGCTGTTTAGACTCTTTAGCTCAATTATATAACCTTTAGTAGCTTAACAAAAAAAAGTGTAGTCTTTCTTACAAAAGTGTAAAAGAAGTGCTGCTAGAGATTTTTTCAACAGAACAAGTTGAAAAACTGCTGATGAAGGTCGAAGTTGTTATACAATTGCCAATGACTCATGACTCTCCTTTACTTCCCAGGGGTCAATGTTGGCACCCCATGTGAATCCAATAGCAACCGAGTACGGTGTTGTATTGAGGGGAACTGGTAGAATACTGATTGTGTATCCAAATGGAACCTTAGCCTTGGACGCCAAGGTAAAAGAAGGTGATGTATTTTGGGTGCCAAGATACTTTGCTTTCTGTCAAATAGCATCACGAGAAGGCCCTTTCGTGTTCTTTGGATTCACAACCTCATCGCGCAAGAACCGGCCTCAGTTCCTCGTGGGTTCAAACTCACTTCTCCACACTCTCAGCAGCCCTGAGCTTGCAGCAGCTTTTGGTGTAACCCAGAAGAGGATGATGCGTATTATCAATGCGCAACGTGAAGCTGTGATCCTTCCTTCACCAGAAGCGGCACCACCTGGGGAGGAAGATGGGAAGAAGAGAGTGAACTTTGAGGCAGTGCCAAAAGTGATCAAGAACTTGGGCAGCGAAATGATTATGGGTTTTGATGAGGGAGGAGCTTGATGGGCTTTGTTGATAAAGATGGAAATGTTGGTCGCAGGCTAGCTAGGAAGCTGGGTGTTAGTTTTTGTTTTGTCTTTTTGGCTTTCGCATCTCCTCAGGGTTTTTGTCAATGAGTTCTTCTACGAGTTGTGAATAAAATAACTGTGCTTTTCTTTTCGCCCCCGGACAGGACCGGAATCAGCTTCTGGTTTTGCTAGAGCTATTTTCCTGTCTGTCATTCATCGATTAATCCTGGAAACAAAATTGATGTTGGGAAATAATGAAGAAGATCGAGGAAAATAACAAGGAACACTACTATTAGCGATTCAGATTCCAAAATAGGATGATTCATGCCTGTCAAGTTATTAGCAATGGACCTTCGCAAGACCAAAAATTTTAATTTTAGAAAAACTTTCTTTATATGGTATTTTAAAAATATTCATCAAAATCAATTTAATTATTTTTAATTATATTTAATCATAATTTGATAAAAATATTTTTGACATTATTTTAAATAAATTAAACCATTCATCTTAATTCCTCTTCATCTATGTTTTTTATTTTTACCTCACCATCCATATCCATGCTTTTGATTTTTATCTCACCATCCAGTTCTCTTTAATTTTATTTTTTTTTTCAACATTCATTTGTTGTGCTCTCGATTTATAGTTTTAATATGCTTAAAGTATGTGGTTATTTAAAAATTTTAATTTTTAGGTATTTTGGATGAAACTAAAATAGTAAATATGATCACATATGTTCAAAATAGTTTTTAATTAGATCAATTAGGTACTTGGATAATAATAAATTTAAAAATTTAAAATTTATAAATCAAAAGTTTCAAAAAGAATTTTTTTTTCAGATTTTTAGTTAGATAAGAAAATTTATGCCTTGATTTATCAAAACATGTTAAAAATACTTTAATCAATGCCAAATTGTTAATAAAAAAAAGAAATGAAAGAAGTTGGCAGAATTTAAAGTTTTAATTCGTAAGTAATAATATTTTAGACATATAATAAAATTTTTTTAAATGTAAAGTGCAATAATAATATTTTTTCAATATGAGGTGTAAGAATAATATTTTTTTTAACATAACGTGTAACATGTTTTTGTAAATACTGTGTAATAATTATTTTTTTTTAATATGACGTGTAACAATTTTTGTATAATTATTTTTTTTCAATATAAGGTGTAACAATCTATTTTAACTTTAATGTGTAACATGTTTTTATATATGACGTATAACAATAATATTTTTTTCAATATAGTTTGTAATAATATTTTTTAATCATGATTTATAATAATATTATTTTTTTAACATAACGTATAACATCATTAAAAGTAATTTTATTCAAGTTAATTAAAAATAATTTTATTCTTATTATTAATAAAATGATTATAGGATAACTAGGCACTTCCAACATAAAAAAACTTAATTAAAAATAGTTAAAATTATAAAATAATTATTTTTAAAAATCCCTTATTTTTTAAAATGTCTCTAAAATTTATCCATTTTGAAAAGTAAAAGATCAATGGGTTAACAAAAGGTTGACGTAGAGTGAAGATAAAAATTTACAGGTTACCTTTCCTCATTATGATTCACATTATTCATGTAGTATTATGTATTATTTGTTGATGTATGTTCTTTCTTCAAATATAAAAAATATATATACTATGTAATGTATTCATCATTGGACTAATTTTCAAATTAACATACTACCTATTTTGTTAAGAGTGTCATCTACTTAAAAAGCCAATCATATTGAAATTGAAAGATTTTAAATGATTAATTAGATTAAGTCGATTTTAGATTTTCCATTTCTTAGTACTAGATTCATATCTTTACATACAAATTATTACATTTTAATAAAAAATATAAAATAAATAAAATAAAATAAATAAAAATAAATAGAATAATGTCATTAAGCTTGTACAAAATCGAGAGCTCCGGTAACCTAAACATTTCGGATAAAATCTTCGATAACTTAACTCAAGTCAAGTTTTGGACAAAATCTTTTGATCTTGATCTATTTAACGAATATTTGTTTTTATTTAATTTTAAAGCACATTTTAAAAATATATAATATTTTAACAATTAAATATAATTTAAATGAATAAACTAAAAATAATTCGAATTTAAAGTTTACGATGTAAATCAAATCAAACCATAAACAACTTTAAAAGTCACGTGCAAAAAAGCACGTGCCATGTAGCCACTCTTCTTTAGCTGAACCGTTGGTCTGAATCCGGCTCAACAAGCGATCTGGAAAATCTTGAATCAGAGCATCTCGGAACGTTTTACATTTCTCTCCAAAAAGGAAACGAAGAAATAAAGAAAACAAGCTTCAAAAAAGAAGTTGAAAATCACGATCGTCAGCCATGGAGAGCGACCGTCGTTTTACTCTCCTCCTCCTCCTCCTCCTGCTTTTCTTGATATCAATAACAGTTCACACAGAAGCCGAAGTCATAACCCTAACCCCCGACAGCTTCTCCGACAAGGTAGCCCAAGTTTTCTCTTTATTAACATTCAACGTCGCAAAATAAAAAAAAAAGATTTTCTTTTACTTGAATCATATCAGTTATCAAAGTTGTTTTTTTGTGTTTGTTTTCGTCAAAATTTAATTATGCTGTGACTGCTTGTAATTTGTAGTATGAATACATTTGCAATTTAATTTCTTCCAGGGAGAATTTATTAGACATATTTTATTCAATATTGATTGAATTTTGTTAGTGAATTGTTTTTAACGAAGTATTAACTTTCCAAGATCTTTTGCTGGTAGCTGGAGATTATTTGCTCCAGTGACTATCTTGTGTTCCTCTTTTCATGATTGGAATGAATTCTGCTCTTCAAAAAACAAAAAAAAAAAAAAATTGACATCAAATTGAATAAATCTTGAACTGCATCAAATGAGTGGATAAAAGCACAGTAAATGAATATGAGTACTTGGCGTTTATCTTGAATTTGCATTTTTTTTTTCTGTTTTCAGGTAAAGGAGAAAGACACGGCATGGTTTGTGAAATTTTGTGTTCCTTGGTGTAAGCATTGGTAAATATTTTCTGCCTAGTTGAGTCTATTTGTTTGAGCAAGCTAGATCTGATTATCGAGCTATCCACTGTTCGAATTTGCTTACTAATGAATGTAATAATGATTGGTTGTGCAGTAAGAACTTGGGGACATTGTGGGATGACTTAGGGAAGGCAATGGAAGGAGAAGACGAAATAGAGATAGGAGAAGTTGATTGCGGTGTGAGCAAACCTGTATGCTCTAAAGTAGATATTCATTCATATCCCACTTTTAAGCTCTTTTATGATGGAGAAGAAGTTGCTAAATATCAAGGTAACAATCCTGTTTCATCTGTTCCAGTAAGTTCGGTAGGAAGGAAAGGAAAGAGGTGAGGAAAGAAAAAAATGAATGAGAGAAAGGAAAGTTGTTTTTTCTTCCTTGTGATTGGTATGAAGGATAGAAAATAGAGGAAACGAAAGAGGTTAGGGCTTCACCTATAAATAAAATCATTAACTTAAGTCTAAAGAGTGTTTTCCTCTTTTTTTGGAAGGATTAGACTTGGAGGAAGAAAAAGGTGCAAATCCATCTATTTTCTTTCCCATTCTATTTCTCTCCTAAAAACAAAGTGAAGGAAGTAAAGAAACACAATTTTCCTTCTGCTCCTGTTCTTCCTCCCGCCTTCCCTTCTACCAACATAATTTTCATGATTTTAGTATGCTGTTTAATACAAACTGTGAATTTCAACCTTAAAAGTGGATGTTCTTTGTGAGGCATTTGTGGTGTTATTGATATAATTTTCAAGCAAAGGATTAAAATTTCATTCTAAAGTAAACGATATTGCAATCTGCGATAAGTAGTTATTGGTTGCGTCAACTCAATAGGGGATGGAGAGCTTTTGGGACCATGATTGGACACTCAATCAAAGCAAGTAAAATAAGCTGTGAATGATACTAGTGTAGAGTGTACTCTCACAGTGGAAGCAAAGAGGGCTCAACGGATTAGAACCTTTCAAAGGGAAGTAGTCCCTATTTTGTCAAACTATTGTTTCTGCTGCCTATTTATGTAGCCTGAATTTCTTCCAAAAGGTAGCCGTACCTTATTTGTTAGGTGTCTGGTCTGATTTGTCAATACTTCTGGATCCTCTGTCCATATGTATACATCGGAGGCTGGCATTGTCCTGGAGTATGTCTCGATTGCTTTTGGAGAGGGACAAGTCTGATTTGTTCTCTTAAACAATCACATAAACCAGTTCTTATGCAGCAAGCTCTGGGGATCAATGAATTAGATGCAGATCTAAGGCCACTGTAATTAAACAAAGTAGAAAGAACTCACTCTGGTTAAGCTCTCACCTGCATCGGGAGAGCCTTATATGCCTTAGGAAGAAAAGTGTCAAAAGGCTTATGCTATCTATCATGTTTTAAGGGCTGTTTTGGGTTTGAGTTGAGATCAAGCTGGGGAAAAAGTAGATAAGTGATAGTATTTCTCTCTCATCATCACCCTTTATTCTCTTCTATTTTTTTTTTAGCTGTTTTATTTTCTGGAAGTCAAGTCTTGAAATGAAAAACATGTTTACTCATGTATACATGGCACAAAATCTTATTTGATCGGTTGCCTAAAATTATTATCTGTGACATTAGTGACTTATGTATTTCACCAAATAGTTAAATTTTACATTTTTCTTTGAATTTCTAATTGCATTGTTGAAGGCTATTATATAATGAAATCTCTGAATGTGGGCATGCCTGTTTATTTATCTGTTAATGTGTTTCAGATGAAAATAGCAAATCTATATTACTCAGTATACGAGTGTTTCCAATCCATCTGAACGATTTGTGATATTCTTTTAATGAAAACAATATGATATTTGACGTTTTGTCAAATTTTTCAAGTTGCTCATCATTTGATATTCCTCAACTTAGTTTAAGTGGGCATTTCTCTATTGTCGCTACCTACATTTTAGAGCTAGTATGTAGGTAAGTTACTGGGCCTTTTGGCCACTCAACTTGGCTACACTTTGTAAAGAACTATCTAACATGGTATTTATATTGTTATGATGCATATTGCAATCAAAGAACTCTAATTTGAAAGAACTGGAATTGTCTTTTCCCTTTTTGAGCAATTTGACTCGACCTGAACTGAATATGAGTCAAAATCACCTCTAAGCAGAATAAATCTAGTTATTGGTAGTTGATCTGATTTCATTGAATGCCACATCAACATAAAACATATGTTTGGGTTTATCTTTCTATGCATCATAATAAGCTTTAGTTACTAAAGATTTCAAAAGACCATGTTTTGGAACTATTTCTGTTATTGAGTTATTTTCTCCCTTGCATGTTATGCAAATGACCAGGGCCAAGGGATGTTGAATCACTAAAAACATTTGCCCTGGAAGAAGCAGAAAAGGCTGCAGAAAAAGCACAGCTAGGCATTGATAAAGAGTTGTGATCATTTCAAAGGCAAGTCCTCAGGTCTCTTCAGTATGCTTAGCTGTTCCATGAAATATTTGCCTGAAATTCTCTTATAGTGGTTAAGAATGATGAAAAAAGAAGTAAGAGAGAGAAAAAGGATAATTGGAGTTTGAAGCTGCTTGTTTGAAACCAAATATCGATGCAAAAAGCACGGCTAATAATTGGACAAGGTTTATAACTTTCTAAACCACACGCCACTAGATCTCTTATTTATGCTTCCTATTTTTGGTACAAAATAATGGGCATGAAATCTCCTGAACTGGTATAGCATTCTGTGAAGGACTAAAAATTGAAGAGAGTTTGCAAGTATAAACTGCTTCTCGATTTCATTTCATGGCTCTGTTCTTGCAGAATAGTTTGTAAATGTCACTAAGGGAAATTGATTTCAAATATGTACTGGAATTCAGTATGATCTTGGATTGTTGATCAATATATTATCATCCGATGCAGAGATGAGACTTCCGAGCAGAACAGGGTGTGGGTCGCTTTTGACAACAGGATGCTTAAATTTTGAAGACACCCCAACTCACACATGATCTTCTGGGCTGTACTGGATTGTGTCACGAATATGATGTTTTTATGTAATTTCTGCATATTCCTGGCTAGATGCAGGACTAATCTCGTGGGCATGGCAATGGCGTGTTTTTACACTGAATGTTGGCATGTTTTGAACTAGTTGTGCATGGTCTGGGTATGAGCGTCTTAATTTTAGTAAACCAAACCAATTTTTACAGGCAAGATAAAAACAGTATTTAAAATTTTAATTGAAAGGCTTTTTCTTTTGTTTCTTTCTTTTTTTTTCCTCCAAATAAATAGACTATTTATGTGTGTGTGTGTGTGTATATATATAAAATAAGATTTAACAGTGAAATATTAATTCACTTTAAAGCAAATGAGAATATATAAGAATAGCATGATATATTCATAAAATTAATATCATATGAAATGATTTAAACTCGGATCATATGATTTCAATATAATAATTTGATTAATTTTATTTTTCCCGATTTAATAGTTTCAAGCACTTAAAACTTATTATTGAAAAAAAATATCTAAACCAAAAATGTAGTATAAATGAAGTATAAATGATTGAAAACACAAAAGATGGAAGGAAATTAGGAGGCTTTTGGTATTAGGAATGTTATGCATTTAAATTGAGAATAAATACACGGTCATATTTATATAAAAAATATTCATGAAATTGTCCGATGATCAATGAGAATATAATTTTTTTAAATTATCTTACTCTTTATATCACGAATTTATATTTTTAATTTAAAAAACATAAAGATCTCTGACACTTTTCTTAGATTTATAAATAAATTGTTATTTACTCAATATACTAATTTTAAATCGAGTATTATATTGTTTTTTTTTTCAAAAAAATTGTCAATATATGTTTTATATATATATATATATATTGATATTATAATATTATTTTTTAAAAAATTCATAATTAATCATGAAACCCAAAACAACCAGGTCGAGCCCGGAGCCCAAGCACACGCAAATCTTAATTTTATCCACGTTGCCCGACGGCTGTAGGCTGTAGCCTGTAGCCTACTAACCAAAGTATAAGCGTTTAATTAATCAGGATCCGGACTCTCATCTGCATGTAACCCGACCCGTGATCAATTTTCCTCCAACCTTCCTTCTACGGATTCATGAATCTTCCTTCGATTCCAATAAACCCTAGAAAGAACAATTTTTGTGAATCGCCAAGTTCGCAATGGAGATTAAATCAAAGAAACTACTGATACTATACGCAACTCAAACTGGAAATGCATTGGATGCGGCCGAGCGTATTGCTCGAGAAGCTGAGCGCCGAGCCTGCCTCGTAGTCATTCGTTCGACCGACGAATATGATGCTGTAAATAGTCTCCTCTTTTCTTTTGACTTTTCGAGTTAAAAGATTTTGGTTAGTGGTAACTTGTTACTTTTTCGCAGAGCTTCTTGCCTGAAGAAGACGCTGTAATTTTTGTTGTTTCTACCACGGGCCAAGGGGATACTCCAGATTCCATGAAGGCAATGCTAGTTATTATTATTCATCCTCAAAAATCATAACTTTCTTCTCGTTGTTATTATTTTTGGAATGTGCCTCAAAGTTATCGTTTTGAGTTTCCTAATATTATCTGTATTGCAGGTATTTTGGAGGTTTCTTCTACAAAGAAATCTAGGCAGCCATTGGTTGGAAGGAGTTCATTACGCTGTGTTTGGATTAGGTGATTCTGGCTACCAGAAATATAATGTAATGGTTTTTCGGAGTTCCTTTGTTGAATTGTCAAATTCATGCCTACTTTCTTCCACTTACATATAGTAGTTAGAATTTTCATATATTAGATTTTTTTAATTCTTCATAATATTGTAGAATCTGTGTAGCTTAGATGAGCGTAGTTACCATTCCTCATATTTAAGAAGTACAATGTTTGAGGAAGCAAATGAGTTCATAGAACATGATGACTGTTATCAAATGCTGGGTTTTAGCCATTACTGAAATTTGAAAAGCATAGTATTGATGCTTTGTTTATATTGCTTCATGAGGGCCGGAAGTTTCCATAGTATATGTATGTGTAAGAAAGTGTCTATTGCAAATTACATTATCATGGAATATCTCCTGGTGCATAATTTGTTTAGTTGTGGACTCATATGGTGTTAGAACTATCGGACATTGTTCCATAAACTAAGAATCAGGCAGCTTTCTGTAGTTTTGAATTTTTACTAAATGGCTTGTCAAGTAGTTTGATTGACTCAGTTCTTGGTGCTTAATTAGAGAAAAACTTAATTTGATAGCTGGTGGCTGCAGTTTGTTGCAAAGAAGCTTGATAAAAGACTTTCAGACCTTGGGGCTACAGCTGTCGTTGAGAGAGGTTTGGGAGATGATCAGCATCCTTCAGGGTATGGTTGCTAATTACTTTGCTGAAGAAGATCATTTAACTTGGTGTGATAGCAGGTTCTTTAACTATATTGTTTTCAGAGTTCGTAATTTCAGCATATGCTCTGGTTTCTTTGAATGTTTCACTGTTGACTGATCAAGACCAGTTAGAAATTGTTGCAAAAACCTATAAAGACAAAGGCGAACCTATAAGATCCCGTGGAATTAAAATGATGGGTGTAAGCAAGATAATCTAGATTTTAAGAGAGATTTGAGTGGTTTATATATGATCCTATTTTAGTTGCCTATTCAAAAATTTCTTTTGGGCATATCTGGTGCATGCATCTCATATCTTAGTCCGTTAGTTTATTAATAATTTCAAAGCCTTTGTTATATAAAAATAAAATTCTTTGGGTTAAGTTTTCATTTATGAATGGTTTTGTTCGTGGAAGCAGTGCACTTTAGTGCCAAGAGTGGATAATTTATATCAACCCTGGTATTCTGAAAAGAATTGAAAACCTTAGAAACCATCTATTTTCCTGTAGGAATCGTGTGGATAGTTTAGGTTAACTGTAGCTGCTAGAAACCTAGCGGCCATCAATATGTACTGCACACAGACTCTGTATTTCATGGAGCAGAAATATCACTATGCCGCAAGTGCATTATAAGATCACCTCAGTTGAAATATGGTTAAATAAAAAGGATCTTTGCCGTTTCTGGAAGAAATTCCAAATAGACTTTTGAATCATTCATGGATGTGAGATTGAGTTGCATCAAATATAGGTTTCTTGTTTGCCCTCTAAGTTTGTGTGATGTTTTTTCTTTTCTTTTCTTTTTGTCATTTTTGATTTGAGGTTTTTTGATGTTTAGTTTAAAAGATAAGTTGAAAAGAAAGTTGACTAGGAAAAATTGTTAACTCTGATTTTAATTTATATTCACAGGTATGAAGCTGCTCTGGATCCTTGGATGTCAGCATTGTGGAGTAGGTTGTATGAGATCAAACCCAATTTCTTCCCTGAAGGCCCAAACTTTTTGGTTCCAAATGTGGAATTAATTGACCGACCAAAATTTCAAGTCACTTACCATAACATAGACAAGATGGATTCCCAATTATCATCTGCCACAGGTAAATTGAGAAGGAAAAATGAAAGGGTATTGAGCAAGTGGAATCCTTGTGCATTAGCTTGACGTCTCGATATAATTTTATTTCATCTTCTTTTCTCTTTCTGTTGTTGCCTTTTCCACTCAGAACATACTCTCTCTCATGTTTCTCTCAGATTTTGAATATCTTGAGATGCAAATTGGAAGGGCTTACTCAATGTATGCTGGAAAAGTTTCTCATGAGAAGTGCAAGCCTGACGCCTTTCTTCAAATGGTGTTTGTAGCATACTTTACCATACTGTTTAAGAAAGCTATGTTATTTAATTTTATGTTCTTCATGACCATATTGTTCAATCCATTGTCTTGCCCTATGACACTTGAAGATGGCTCAATTCTGTAGTTGTGTACCTTGTTGTCCAAGTTTGAAAGCCAGCATTTGTTGAACATGGAACACGAATTATATTGCTTCAGGATAAATAATTCATCACCTAGTTAAAGCACAAAGATGTTTCATTGCATATTTTCTTCTCCCAACCATTTGCTCTATTATGTAATAGGCTCTTGTCAAATGAATATTAAAACCATCTATACACACAAATAAACATGTATTTCTCATGAAAGAGGATATATTCATATCTATGTGAAAGAAAGTTGAAATGCAAGTAATAATTTTGTTTTTGGCTGGAGAAGAACAAGCTACTAAAGGGATGGAAAGTTGCTCTTTTTTTTTTTTTCCTTTTTGGTATCAAAGTTGAGGGCTAGAAACTTTTGGGTAGAATGCAATCTAGATGTATTTCTCTTTGGTTGCAACTTAGTAAGGCTATTCTGTGATTTTGGGGCATTTTCATTCCCCCGTTTCTCTTTTAATCCAAAAGACTAAATGGAATTTTAAGTTATTAATTCTTGTTGTTCATTCATTAAGATAATCAAATTTGTTTTGTTAAACTGAAACCATATTAAGGACTTCCTTAGATGCCTTGAATGCATTATTAAGGAATATTTAAGCCCCATTCTTTGGCACAGAATTGCATTTGGTGGTTTGGAAATATCAGTCAACAGAAAAAAGAAACTACAAATAATAATTAAGATGAAGTTTATTATTTAAAAAATGTTATTATGTGAAACTATATTTATCCATTTTCTTTAGATATTGTTTGGTAGTTTCTACCCATGGTTGGCCATTGGATTGTTCATGAATATAAAATTAATATTTAATAATCTTGGTTTATGGGGTATTTTGCTTTGTCTATATTTTTATCTCAGATGTTTTAATTTGCTTTTGCAGATAAAAAATTTCCCATTGACCAGGGTGAGTCATGAAAAAGATGTACGTCACTTGGAATTTGAATTTGTTACACAGGTAGTTTTTTCGTTGTTGCTTACATTTAATTTTTGGTACTGCTCACCTTTCAAACCAGACTGCTTGGCAATTGCATGATGCTTTTTGGTCTTTTTTTTTTTCTGCATATTTTAGGTGGTTCAATATGAAATTGGCGGTGTCCTAGAGGTTCTCCCTTCTCAAAATCCTGCAGCAGTTGATTCTTTCATGCATCGTTGTAATTTGGACCCTGAATCATTCATAACTGTAAGTTCTTTCCATATTGGCTAACTGTAGTAATCATTCTCTTTGATGCTCCTGTCTTTTCATGTTCTTTATTGATATAATATGTGAATCAACTACATGTTCAAACAATACTGCAGCAGACATTTAGGGACTTGTCTTGGAAGTAGAGAACTACAATGTATGTGAGAAATGTCTTACGCCACTTTTCCCCTAAATTCTCTTGTTTTTCCTTCTATTTGCCACCATTCAGTCGGGTGACATTAATTAGACACCATCTTTGTCTGAGTATAATGTGCAACTATATTAGAGATGAGAAAGCCAGCAAATATCAGTACTTGATGAGCATCTTGTTAGTGGATAGCCCTTAGTTCATCTTCATACCTAGTACATAGGAATGTGCTTATCATAAAAAAAACATAGGAATTATCTCTTGTTGTAACACAAGGTGATTGCTAAGTTGGCTATTTATACCAGCCCTAAATACTTTGCTAATTAGTCCCTAACTTACAGAAATTTAAAAAAAAAAAAAAACCAAAAACATATGTTAAAACAAATAAGGGACCCTCTGCCACATCATTTAGATTTCATAATACTTTAGCCCAAATACGACAACACAAGGTGACTGCTAAGATTGTCGTGTTATCTCTCGGTTTTGGTCATGACAGGTAGTGTTTTTAAACAATAGAAATATTGGTTTAAATATTCTCACATAATGTATCTAGCATTCTATCAACAATGCCTTAAAGCTGCAAACTGGATATTTTGGTTATTGGCACGGAAGTCTTCTCTAACATCCCCTTTTAATGTTTAAGCTTGTACCTTTTTGAATCCTTCAATATGCATTAATATCCTCCGACCTACTCTATCTTTTTGTGCTTAGTTTTGGACTTGTTTGCTTTGATATTTTCATTTTCATTGTGATTAGACTTCGAATACTTATTTGTTTCTTGTCAATTTGCTTTATAATGCGTTGGTCATATTCCCTTGTCATGGTAATTTCTTCCAGCTGCCTGTATGATAATAGCCTTATGGGCCTATGGTAGTATATCCCTTGTCATGGTCATATTTACCACTTTTCATAGTTTGACAGTATTTCACATCCATAGGTTAGAGCACTGCTTGTTGTTTCATAGTTAATATTTTTGTCTATCGTGGTTGCAAAAACTCTTTTGGCCTTTGGTACACCTCACATGCATAAGAAACCTTGAAGCCATGATCTTGCTATATGCTAACCTTGTGCTGAAAAATATTGTTTATTTCAGATCCATCCTAGGGAATTGGAAAATCACCATCTTGATAACAATGTAAATACTTTGGAGGTGCCCATTAAATTAAGAACTTTTGTGGAACTGACAATGGATGTTGCATCTGCTTCCCCTCGGCGCTATTTCTTTGAGGCAAGATCCTGTATGTTTTATCTTCTATGGTTTTCCTATTTCGGAATTTCTCTATCAAGCTATTCCTCCCACCTTTAATTAGGTAAAATGTGATGCACTTTTGTTTCCTTCTCCTGAGCCGTCATTTCACTTGCAGTATCAACTATCAAGATTATCTCAGAAGATAACTTCAAAAAAGAAAAGTGTTATACTTTCCTGTAATTTTCAATTAATTACTTTTCATATAAAAATGTGCATTTCAATTAGGGTATTATGTTTGAGACAAGTGTATGCATTTTGATTAGGACCATGTTCTAAGTTACAATTCTACCATACATGTCATTTTCCATTTTGTAGAAAACTGATTGTACAGTGTGGATGCTTATTACCTCCATCTCATGCCTTGTGGTAATGATTCCTTTGACATTTAGTACCTTTACCAGACCTTTGCCACAATGATGCTATTTATAGATCAAATCTTTTAGTGGATTGTAATTCACTTGGCAGCCTAGGGCTCAATTTCCTATGCCCATTATGGAAGTTTGTCATAAATGTATCACCATGAATATAAATATAATTCATTGGCTTTATACAAATAAAGGTCTTAAAAATGACTTCTGATAAAGAAAAAGGGAAAAGAAACTCAAAGTTTTCCAAAGGTTTCAATTCTTGGCCTGTCTGACAACATCAATATTTGCAGGTTATGAGCTTCTTTGCAACTGCTGAACATGAGAAAGAAAGGCTTCAGTATTTTGCCTCACCTGAAGGAAGAGATGATCTTTACCAATACAACCAGAAGGAACGAAGAACTGTTCTAGAGGTAAAGTGAAATAGATTTAGTACATGCATAATGCCATTTTTGGTGCTTTGTAGTTTTTTCTAATCGTCATCTTCCTCTGTATTTTGATCTTTTCAATTTTATTTTTTTGGCTCGGATGAGGATGACAAATTATCCCTCTGTTCAATTTTATACTAAATACAAGATTTTGAAGAAAAATGCAACTTCCACTACAAACAAAATTGATCTCAATCTTCATGATACAGGTATTGGAGGATTTCCCTTCTGTGCAAATGCCATTTGAGTGGTTGGTGCAGTTGGTTCCTCCACTGAAAAAAAGGGCTTTCTCCATTTCTTCTTCCCCTTTGGCTCACCCTGATCAAGTGCATTTGACTGTGGATGTTGTGTCATGGACAACACCATTCAAGAGGAAAAGGAGAGGCCTCTGCTCAACATGGCTAGCCAGTCTCAGTCCTGAACAAAGTATGGTTGTCAGGTTACAAGCTCCAATTATTTTCTTCATTGTTACTTACAACTGTATGTACTATGCAACATGTGTTAGTCATGCTAAAATATGTATTTTGTTTGAACAGGGATATACATTCCGGTATGGTTTCATAAAGGTTTGCTTCCTCCCCCACCACCTTCACTTCCCCTCATTCTTGTTGGACCGGGAACTGGTTGTGCACCTTTCCGAGGATTTGTGGAGGAAAGAGCTGCACAGAGTTTGTCCTGTTCAATTGCTCCAGTTATTCTCTTCTTTGGTTGCCGAAATGAGGAGAATGACTTTCTTTATAGAGACTTTTGGTTGTCCCATTCACAAAATGATGGGGTGCTTTCAGAAGCCAAGGGTGGTGGGTTTTATGCTGCCTTCTCGAGAGACCAACCCCAGAAGGTTTATGTGCAGCATAAGATGCAGGAACAAAGCCAGAGGATTTGGAATCTGTTGCGTGAGGGAGCAGCAATCTATGTTGCAGGCTCTTCAACGAAAATGCCATCAGATGTCATGTTAGCTTTTGAGGAGATTATGTCCAAGGAGAGTGAGGCTCCAAGGGAATCGGCAGCAAGATGGCTTAGGTCTTTAGAAAAAGCTGGTAAATATCATGTTGAAGCTTGGTCTTGAGCGCTGCTTAATTCATCTATACTGTGAGTGTACGCATACAGCATTTAAACTTTTCTATTGCAATTCTTGTCAGCTTCTGAGCGAGTGAGCTGGTGAAAGCATCCGTCAAATGTACTAAACTGCCAAATTGGTCGATACTAACAATTTCTTGATTGAAAAATAAACCAGACGAAACATGCTACTATTTTAGATTTAACATTCATCTCTACTGCCATCCTTAAATACCCAGAACAATTCACTATACCAGCCATATACGCCCTTTAACTCTGACTGAAACTCCTCTTGAAATTGAAGTGAATTTTGGAAGATAGATAC